TGAAATAGCTCAACTGGAATTCCATCACCTCGACTAGCTTTGTTCGTAGTGATGCTTCCTAAGGCCCGCTTGACTTCACATTCTAGGATGTCTGGCTCTAGGTGAGTGATCACACCATTGTCATTATCTGGGTCGTGAAGATCTTTTTTGTATAGTTCTTCTGTGTATTCTTGCCACCCCTTCTTAATATCTTCTGCTTCTTTTAGGTCCAAACCATTTCTGTCCTTTATTGTGCTCATCTTTGCATAAAATATTCCTTGGTATCTCTAATTTTCTTGAAGAGATCGCTAATCTTTCCCATTCAATTTTTTCCCTCTATTTCTTTCCATTGATCGCTGAGAAAGGCTTTCTTACCTCTCCTTGCTATTCTTTGGAACTCTCCATTCAAATGGGTACAATTTTCCTTTTCTCCATTGCCTTTAGTTTCTCTTCTTTTCTCAGCTATTTGTAAGGCTTCGTCAGACAACCATTTTGCATTTCTTTTTCTTGGGAATGGTCTTGATCCCTGTCTTCTGTACAGCATCACAAACCTCCGTCCATAGTTCTTCAGGCACTCTCTCAGATCTAATCCCTGGAATCTATTTCTCACTTCCACTGTATAATCATAAGGGATTTGATTTAGTCATACCTGGATGGTCTAGTGGTTTTCCCTACTCTCTTCAATTTGAGTCTGTATTTGAGGGAAATGCAGATCAAAACAATAAGAGGGCCTTTCCTGGCAGCCCGGTGGTTAAAGACTCTGGGCTCCCTGTGCAGGGGGCATAGGTTCGAGCCCTGGTTGGGAAGCTAAGATCCCACCTGCCTTGTGGCCAAAAACAGTCACGAGAGACAGCACCGCACACCTGTTAGGATGGCTATTATCACAAAAGACAAAAGATAACTAGGGTTGTTAAGGATGCGGAGAAAAGAGAACTCACATACTTTCGGAGGAAATATAAGTTGATACAGCTCCTATGGAAAACGTGGGATAAACACTGCATGATCTCACTTATATGTGGAATTTAAGAAAGTCAGACTCTTAGAATAGTGGTTGCCAGTGTCTGGGAAGTGTGGGAAATGAAGGGGTGTTGCTCAAAAGGTATAAAGTTTTAGTTACGCTGGATGAATACGTTCTAGAGTTCTAATGTACAGCTTGGTGACTTTAGTTAATAATACTGTATTATATACTTGAAATTTGCTAAAAGAGTAGATCTCTCTTCTTGCCCCCCAAAGATAACCATGTGAGGTGATGGATATGTTATTTATTTTGATTGCAATAATTATTATACAATGTATATGGAATCAAAACATCACATTGTAAACCTTAAATAGAGAAAGCTTTTTAAAATTAAAGGTGAACACCAGGCTACTGGTATATTTTAAATTCATTCATTTTTTGGCTGCGCTGGGTTTTTGCTGCGGCTCTCAGTGGTGGAGAGCAGGGGCCACCCTCCAGTTCAGGAGCTTTTCACTGCAGCGGGTCCTTTGAGGGGCCATCACATCCAGGGAGCTGTCCGAACTCCCCTGCCCCCACTCCAGGATCTGACTACACCAGCCAAACTTCCTCTTCTTTTTTAAAACTTGTTTTGTGTCGGGGTGGAGTTGTGAAAGTTTCAGAACAGCAAAGGGACTCCGCCATAGATATTTACATGTGCCCACTCTCCCCCAACGCCCCTCCCGTCCAGGCTGCTGCTTAAGCCTGAGCAGAGCTCCCTGTGCTCTCATAGGTCCTTGCTGGGTCTGCATTTTGAATATAGCCGTGTGTGCACATGTCCATCCCCAGCTCCCTAACCAGCCCCCTCCATCCTTTCCCCCTGCAACCGTAGGCTTGTTGTCTGCGTCTGTGTGTGCTTCCTCCTTTTCAGTACGGGGGTTCAGCTCACCCCAAAGGACATCAGAGAGCATTCCAACAGCTGCCGCTCCCATGGGCAGTGCCCCCTGCCTCCCCTTGTGTGAGAAGGAGGTGGTGGATGAGGAGTGTTTTCAAGGGCTTGGAGCTTCAGAGGGGTCCCAGTGTTTCCAGGTCTCCTGGACACCACCATTCCGATTGCCAGGATTCCATTTCTCCCGGGGCTGCCTAAGCTTTTCTCGCCGGAAACAGGGCAGGGCTCTGGACGTGGCCAAGCACAGTCAGAGGGGGACCCGCAGCGTCACGGTATGTGCATTAACAGAAACCCACCTGCGGCTCTCACCCGGACACCCTTCACAGCCTCGGGGGTTGCGACAGTTGCTGTCAAGCCCTCCCCTATTCCCCACGCCCCCACCCAACCAGAGGAGCCGGAGGACTGACGTCCCGGCGGTATGCAGAGATCTTACTGCCGCGTGGCCTGTCTTCTGGGCCCCACTCCCCATCCCGGGGCCTGACCCTGAGCTTTTCAGAGTATCCGAGTTGCCCTCAGGCTTTACCGTGTCCAGCCCACTCTCTGTCTCCGTTCGGGCTCTTTGGGGCTACAAATGGCCGACTTTGGCCAAGTAGAGTGGGGGAGGAGAGGCCCGCAGGGAAAGAGCGTTCAGAGAATGAATGGGAGGCATTGATGCCTGGTCAGCACTGACCTTGGGAGGACTCTGTGTTCAGGGGGCCTGAGCGGCTCCAGGCTCAGCCCTGGGGACAGGGACAGGGAGGGGCCGGGAATTGAGCCTTCTCACCAGAATCGGCAGTTCCCAGGCAGGCGAAAGGACTTGGGGCTGGTCACAAAGTCAGCTCGTGGGAGAGGGGTTTTGAGGGAGCCCCAGGTGACAGTGTCGCCAGGATCCCCAGGCGCTGGGCGCCCGGCCCGAGCCCTGGTCTGGGTCTGACGGGACCACGGGGACCCAGGAGCAGTCAGCTGAGGCCGGGGAGGGGTCTGACTCGGGGAATGGGCGTGTGACGGGGCACCGGGGGGCTGTCCGAGAGGGCCAGCACTGGCCAGGCAGGCCCCAGTGACCCTCGCCTTTTCCCTTCCCACAGGACGTCCTTTAGTGACGGAGCCTGCAGGAAGTCAGCCTTAAAAGAGAACTGACCCCTCGCTCTGACGGTCCTGGGTGCAGGGAAGGACTACTGAAGCTGTCACTTGAGAGCTGATCGGCACCTCCAGACAGAACCACTCAGCGCAGGGGAGTGAGGGGCGCACACTTCACGTTAACAGGTCTTCCGGTCGGGGGATGGTTCTTGTTTGTGTTTGAGGGAGTACTGTATTTAGATGAGATTAAAATTTTAAATGCAGACTCAAAGTAAGTGAAACTTACTTAACGTTCAATGTCAAGTTTAAAACCATTATTGAGATGTATCTTTTAGTTTTATTAGTGCAGTTACAAACGTGGCTTTGTGTAGTACTGAGAGACCCCTTAGAAGGAGGCTCTTGAAATACACAATAATTTAAAAAGGTAGATTTCTAGGGCCTAAGGGGACACCAAGTGCTCGGATTTTGTTAACCACCCCAAACACTTCAAACGGACAAAAGAAGAGGCTGAGAGCTATCTTACTTTTAACTTTATTTTTATTGGTGACACGATTACAGATAGAACGACCACAACCATACTAACAAACCAAAAACCTGTGCACAGAAACAAGATGAAGAAAACATGTCAAGATGTTAACCATGATCTTTGGGTGACGGCGACAGGGGCACGCCTATCTTCCACACTTCTGTAACTGCCAGCTTTCTACCATGAGCAGACAGTGCGGTTACAATGGAGGTGCCCGTGATAAAAGGTCGGTAACCGGGACAAAAGGAAACAAGTCTTCTAGGAAAGCGAGCCCCACAGCCTAACGCCGCAAAGACCACACAACCGTTTCCTCACTGCTTCCCATGTTTCCTCTCCTCTTCGACCCTCTGCATTCTCACCTCAGACACCCCAGTCCTCAGACTGTGCACAGATGAAGGTTTAACAGCAATGATTGTTGGGTGTCGGGAATATATGTGAATTTCTTTTGCTTTACTAAATCTCCCCCAAAGTATGCCATGAGTATGTATTAAGAGTTTTAATGGAAAAACATACATAAGATTTAATACTCAAAACACCAAAGATCATTCAAGAAATTTGAGACAAGATAGTTAACCATAATCCCACAATGACAACACTACTTTAATTATTTTCTGTAATTTTTTTTTCATTTTAGACTTTATGCACACATAATCACCACGGTCATAAATCACAAGCTTGTGCACTGATACGAGATGGAGGAAACAGATCAAGATGTTAACAGTAGTTGTTGGGTGTTGGGAATATGGGCGACTTTTTTGTTCTTTTCTAATTTATTTTGTATTTTTCAATTATTCCTCTGGGTGTGTATTATGCTTGCTAACTGAAGCAAGCATAATAAACTTTGTTATCAGGAAACTATTTTAAGGGCCATCTGAAAACATTAAGATGAAAGTGTTTAACCGTAATTCCACAAAGATAACACTAATCTGAGTACACGTTTGGGACACAGTTATAAGCCTGTGCACAGAAACAAGGATAAACAATATCGTGAGGAGCAGGTCTGTCATCTTTGGATGGTGGGCATATGGGTTTTTTTTCCTCCACTTTTCTGTATTCTCCGAGTGCCTGAATAATGATCTCAAATTATGTTCACAATGGAAATGTGATTATAAACTTTTGAGTAACACTATCATAAAGAACATTCAAGGAATTTAAGAAAATAATGCTCAACTATAAGCCTACAACAGCAACACCACCACAGCTTTTAACTATAAGCATACATTTTTAAACAGCTATAATTGTAGTATAAATATAATTCTGTGTCCTGCTTTTTCCACTTGGTATTCCGTAAATATATCTCCACGTCACTACATAACTCTCCATGATTATCATTTCTAGACAGCTGCATTCAGAGTCCACGGACACATTCCCTTCACCTTGCTCCTATTTTTGGCATTTGTCAGTTGTTCCTGATCTCTCACTGACCGAAGGACGGCTGGAATGGACACCGGCAGGCGGCTCTCTGAAAACACTCTACCAGTTGGTGCTGCCGACGGCGATGAGCGCCAGGTTCACCCCACGCCGCCCAGGCTGGCTCCCAGCCCAGGACCCCCTGATGCTGTGCCTCGCGGCCCCTTGGGGCACTGGGGCGTCCATTCCAATGCCGTGTCTCGTGATGCAGCTGCCCTCAGGCCACCAAGTGGCCCCTTCTCCTAACTGCCAGGACACCCTGCTCATTCATTCACCCCCCCATCGGGCCTTCCAGTCCCTGCTTCCGATGTTCCTTCCGTCCGACACCACCCTCCCAGGTCTGGTGAGGCGTCAGGACCCCCCGCTTTGGCTCTCCCCGACTTTGGCGTTCCCTCCAGCTCTGACATGCTCTCCCCAGCCCTCGTGGCAGGGACCTAGGAGAGGGGGGTCCGGATACAACTCCAGAGCAGGCCTCCTCGCTCTGCTCTCCCAGATGATCTGCTCTCAGCTTCTGCTCACTGCATCTACAAGATCCTCTTTTTTTTTAAGTTTTTAAAAAAATTTTTAAAATTTTTTTGCCAGCCAACTCAAAGCCAAGAAATTTCTTAATAGTCATTATGCAAAGAGGGGGCGGGGAAGCAGAGGGAGGGCACAGAACGGGACGCAGGAGACCCCAGAGCGGTGAGGTCAGCTTGGGACAAGGACGCAGGAAACTGGGGCCGCTCTGAGGACAGCGGGGGTGCTTGTCAGGAGGGCGCTTCCTGAGAGGGGGGGACAGATGGCAACGAAACAAATTAAGGCTGCCGGGGAACCTGAGTCCATGTTGGGCTCGAGTTGGCTGTAAAGAGATTTTTTTTTTTTTTTTAAATGCAAGTTAGACACAGGGTTGGTTGAGGGTCAGACAGGTGGAAAGGAGGATTAAGTCTCAGGCTGGAAAGCTCTAAGGATACTAGCTCCTGGGCACCCAGGGTGCAAACTTGCCACGTGGCGGCACGGAAGGGCCAAGCCACGTTGCTACTTGTCACTTAAGGCAGGAAGCGCACAAAGGGAAGTAATGAAGTCGTAGCCCCTCGGCCGTATTTACAACAGGAGAGCCCCCCCTCCCCCCGGTGGTTCTCAACCTTCATTAGGCACACGTGATCTAGTGATGGTTACAACCCACTCTTTAAAGGCAAGGACGTAAGAGTCACAGGGAAAAGCTTCGGCTTTTGTAAAATTCACTATCGAAGAGACATCAAGGTGGGTTAAAAAAATAAAAATAACAAAAACTTGTAGTGTTTTTTGCATGAGAACCACTGCAAGGTTACAAGGTGGCAACCAACCAATGAGGTTACAAAAGGCCAATCCACAATGGTGGTTCTCAACCTTCATTAGGCACACGTGATCTAGTGATGGTTACAACCCACTCTTTAAAGGCAAGGACGTAAGAGTCACAGGGAAAAGCTTCGGCTTTTGTAAAATTCACTATCGAAGAGACATCAAGGTGGGTTAAAAAAATAAAAATAACAAAAACTTGTAGTGTTTTTTGCATGAGAACCACTGCAAGGTTACAAGGTGGCAACCAACCAATGAGGTTACAAAAGGCCAATCCACACACGGTAAAGGCTTACACAGCACGAGGTTTCCAAAGTGTCGGTGTAGACGAGGCGCCTGAAAAGGGAGCAGAGAGGCTTCCCTTCACACAGCAAAGCGGGCAAGACGCTCTGCCTTTCATGCCTACACCGTGAGGGGGCTATGTAAAGAATAAGGAACCACAGAGTCAGTCAGAAAGATACAGACAGGGTCCGAACAGCACACAGTAAATCTCTCTAAAGCTCTGAAACGCTGACAAATATATTGTGATTTGTTGCTCTCTTCCTCCTCCAAAAAAAATGAAACAGCAAGACCAGAGTACCAGGTGAGGCGCGGCTGCAGGTGAGCGCCGGCGAGGGCCACCCTCAGTCCAGTTCGCCGTGCTGTGTGTTCTGCGTACATCGCGGGAGGCGGTGGCGGAGGTCCCGGGCGCTCACAGGTGGGTGCTCTCTGCAGCCGCCAGGGCCCCTGCGGAGGGCGGGCAGGTGCCGTGTCCCGCATGTACCTGCTGTGCTGGACACGGGAGCTGCCGGCGTTTGCACCTGGGAGCCGAGAGTGTGAATCCAGGCTGGAGGGTGCAGTGCAGGCCGGCTCGGGGGTCCGGTTGTGCGTGGGTGAAGGGGGCCGGGTCCCAGTGGAGGCCCCGGCCCGCCGAACCGAGGGTCTGAAGTCCAGGTTGGGTGGGTGCAGTCCGGGCTGTCGCGGTGGGTCCGGTGTATGTGGGTGAGGAGGGTCGGGTCCCGGGGGGCCCCCGGGCCTCAGCCGGTGTGGGTGTTCTGGTGCCTGGCCAGGGACAGGCGGTCGCTGAAGAGCTGCCCGCACACGTCGCACTTGAAGAGCTCGTCGTCAGGCCGGCCGCCCTCGGGGCCGCCGGCGCCCTCGCCGTAGAGGCCAGCGGGCTCCAGGATGATGAGGCTGGCGTGCGCCCGCAGATGCTCGGCGTAGGCGGCGCCTGATGGGAAGGTCTCACCGCACTCGCCGCAGTCGTAGTAGGGCTCCTCCACCTGGATCTCCTGCTCCTCGCCCTCCTCCTCGGGGTCCTCGATGCCCGCGCCGTCCGGCTCGTCGGCGTCACCCTCAGGCTCTTCGGCGCGCTCCTCGGGGTCCTCGATGCCCGCGCCGTCCGGCTCGTCGGCGTCCATGCCGGGCTGCTCCGCCTCGGCGTGGGGCTGCTCCGCCTCGCCGCTCGGCTCCGCGGCCTCCCACTCCGGGCCCTCGGCGCCCCCGAGGGGCGCGGCCGCCTCCACGTCGGGCTCGGCCGCCTCCACCTCGGGCTCGGCCGCCTCCACCTCGGGCTCGGCCGCCTCCACGTCGGAGCCCTGGATGCGCAGGACCTCCCGGGGCACGAGGACGGCGGCCTCGGCCTCCTGGGCCGCGGCGGCGGCAGCGGCGGCGGCCGCGCCCTCCTCCTGCAGGTGCAGCTTCTGGTGCTTGGTGAGGATGGTGCTGTGGATGAAGGACTTGCCGCAGTCCTTGCACTCGTAGAAGGGCCAGTCCCTCTTGGGGGGCTCCGTGAGGAAGGACGTGTGCACGAAGGCGGCCCCGTAGTCGTAGGGCTCGGTCTTCTCATGCACCCGCATGTGCTCCTGGAGGTCGGCCTGGCTGGGGAAGGACTCGCCGCAGGTCTCACACTCGAAGCGCGGCTCCTCGCCCGGGTCTTGCTGCGGCTCTGTGGGCGCCGGGCCAGGCCCCGCCGCGCCCGCGCCCGCCTGGCCCTGATCCGGCAGCCCCTCGCCGGCGTGGCCCCGGGCGTGCTCGCTGAGGACGGAGGCGTGGATGAAGTCCTGCCCGCACACCTGGCACTGCAGGGCCGCCCCGAGGGGGGCGCTCTTCTGCGGGGCCTGGGGCCGCCGCGGGGTGGCGATCAGGGGCTGCATGAAGGGCTCGTAACGCCTGTGGCCGTAGAACTGGTCCTGCTCGTGGACCTTCTGGTGCTCGAAGAGGAAGGAGCTGTGCACGAACGACTCCCCGCAGGCCGGGCACTCGTAGAGCTGCTCTCCAAGGCAATCTTTCTGGTACTCGCTGACAGGAGGCGTGTGCACCGCGGGGTGCGTGTACTCACGGCTGTCCACCAGATACTCCCGGCGGTGGACCTTCTGGTGGTCGCGGAGGTCCGCGCGGTCCGCGAAGCCCAGCCCACAGTCCTTACAGCCGTAGATGGAGTCTTCGGGCTCCTCGGGCTCGTCCTGCTCTTCCTGCTCCTCCTGCTCCTCCTGCTCCTCCGTCTCTTCCTCCGGAGGCCCGTCCAGGCCCAGGTCCGGCATCACAGGCTCTCCAAACAGCTTCCCATCATGGAAATTCTCTCGGGCATAGATTTTCTGATGTCTGCCAAGCTCTTCAACGGTGGCAAAGCATTCCCCACACTCCTTACATTCATTGAGAACTGGCGGCTCGCAGTAACTGGTCTCACTTGTTAGCTCAGCATAGCTGGTCTGAGCTGGTGGTTCAGCGTAACTGGTCTGAGCTGCGAGCTCAGCATAAGCAGTCTGATCTGCTGGTTCAGAATAACTGATCTGAGCTGCTAGCTCAGCATAACTAGTCTCAGCTGGTGGTTCATCATAGCTTATTTGAGCTGCTAGCTCAGCATAACTAGTCTCAGCTGCTAGTTCAGCATAACTGATCTCAGCTGCTAGATCAGCATAACTAGCCTCAGCTGGTGGTTCCTCAAAGCTGACCTGAGCGGCTGGGTCAGCATAACTGGTCTCAGCTGGTTCCGTATAACTAGCCTGAGCTGGTGGCTCAAAATAACTGGTCTCAGCTGCTAGTTCAGCATAACTAGTTGGAGCCGCTAGTTCAGCATAACTGATCTGAGCTACTAGTTCAGCATAACTAGTCTCAGCTGGTGGTTCCTCAGCATATCTGGCCTGAGCCGGTTCCTCGGCATAACTGGCCTGAGCTGGTTCCTCGGCGTAACTGGTCTGAGCCGGTTCCTCGGCATATCTGGTCTGAGCCGGTTCCTCAGCGTATCTGGTCTGAGCCGGTTCCTCGGTATAACTGGTCTGAGCTAGTTCCTCAATGTAGCTGGTCTGAGCTGGTTCCTCAGTATAACTGGCCTGAGCTGGTTCCTCAGTATAACTGGTCTGAGCTCGTTCCTCAATGTAACTGGCCTGAGCTGGTTCCTCACTGTAACTGGCCTGAGCTGGCTCCTCGGCGTAACTGGCCTGAGCTGGCTCCTCGGCGTAACTGGCCTGAGCTGGTTCCTCGGCGTAACTGGCCTGAGCTGGTTCCTCGGCGTAACTGGCCTGAGCTGGTTCCTCGGCATAAGTGGTCTGAGCTGGTTCCTCGGCATAAGTGGTCTGAGCTGGTTCCTCAGTATACTTGGCCTCAGCTAGTTCCTCAGTGTAATTGGTCTGAGCTGGTTCTTTGGTGTAACTGGTCTCAGCTGCGGGGTCAGTGTAACTGGTCTGAGCTGGTTCCTCAGTACAACTGGTCTGAGCTGGTTCCTCAGTACAACTGGTCTGAGCTGGTTCCTCATTGTAATTGGTCTCAGCTGCTGGGTCAGTGTAACTAGTCTGAGCTGGTTCCTCAGTACAACTGGTCTGAGCTGGTTCCTTGGTGTCATTGGCCTGAGCTGGTTCTTCGGTGTAACTGGTCTCAGCTGCTGGATCAGTGTAGCTAGTCTGAGCTGGTTCCTCAATACAACTGGTCTGAGCTGGTTCCTCAGTGCAACTGGCCTCAGCTGGTTCCTCGGTATAACTGGTCTCAGCTGCTGGGTCAGTGTAACTGGTCTGAGCTGGTTCCTCAATACAACTGGTCTGAGCTGGTTCCTCAATACAACTGGTCTGAGCTGGTTCCTTAGTATAACTGGCCTCAGCTGGTTCTTCAGTGTAACTGGTCTCAGCTGCTGGGTCAGTGTAACTGGTCTGAGCTGGTTCCTCAATACAACTGGTCTGAGCTGGTTCCTCGGTGTAACTGGCCTCAGCTGGTGCCTCGGTGTAACTGGTCTGAGCTGGCTCCTCAATACAACTGGTCTGAGCTGGTTCTTTGGTGTAACTGGTCTGAGCTGGTTCTTCAGTGTAGCTGGTCTGAGCTGGTTCTTCATTGTAACTGGCCTGAGCTCCTAGTTCAGCATAACTGGCCTGAGCTCCTAGTTCAGCGTAACTGGCCTGAGCTCCTAGTTCAGCGTAACTGGCCTGAGCTCCTAGCTCAGAATAACTGGTCTGAGCTGCTTCCTGGACATAACTCATCTGCAGTGACTGGCCTTGGTAGCTGGTCTGAGGGTCAGTGGAGGTCAGGCTGCGAAGGACAGACCGTAGGTAGTTTTTATTTCCGGGGAGCTTCTTTCTGCTGTGGATCTTCTGGTGTTCAGCCAACTCAGAGCTACGGACAAAGAACTCTCCACACTCTTGACATTCATAAAATCTCTCTCTCGGGCGAAACGTTTGAGGCTCACCAAAACGCAGCGTGTGCATCATGGAGGTGTCGTAATTCTTGCGCTCGATGTTCTTCTTCTTGGCGCGTGCCTTCTGGTGCTGGCGGCCATCTGAGCTGGAGCCGGAGGCTTCACCATCTCTCTTCCACCCGCTGGGGCCTTCCCCAGCAAGGTGGTCCAGAGGGGCGGGGCGTGACGCACGGTAGAAAACTGAGCTCCTGAAGAAGCTGTGTCTACCTCCGGCGTAAGGGCTCTCCCAGGCCGGGGTCTTCTGAGGCGGGTCACGAAGGCCTGAGAGGTATGTGGAGGGCTCCCCATCCTCCCTGAGGCCACGGGGAGGCCGGAAGGCGGCCAGGCTGTGGAAGATGGCCCTCTCGTAGGCACTCCTCTCATAGGCCCGGGCCTCCTGGCTGTCTTCAGGGTTGCTGCTGATGGTGAATGCCTTCTCGTCGTCGTCGTCCTCGTCCTCAGGTGGCCTGGTGATTGTGTGACTCTTCTGAGACCCAGGCATGGACATGCTGTGGAAAAGCGGCTTCTCGTAGCCTCGGCTGTCGAAGCAGCTCTTCCGAGAATGAATTTTCTGGTGCTCCATGAAGTCTGAGCTCCGCCCAAAGGCATCCCCGCCCTCTCTGAAGTCGTAGAGCTTCTCCTTGGAGTAGGTCTTCTGGCGCCTCTTCAGGGACTGGCCAGGAATGAAGGTCTCCTCGAAGGCCCTGCCCCTGCCATCGGACGGGCTCCTGCGGCTGTGGGTCTTCTGGTGCTCCCGCAGGGCCGCGCTGTGGTGGAAGGTCTCCCCGCAGACCTTGCACTCATAGCGCTTCTCCTTCCCGCAGGCCCTCTGCAGCTCGCCAAGCATGGGGGTGCGCCTCACGGCGCCCGTGCTGCGCTCCCTCTCCCTGTCCTCACGGCTGTGGATCTTCTGGTGCTCGATCAGGGCTGAGCTGTGCAGGAAGGTCTCCTTGCACACCTTGCACTCGTAGAACTTGTCTTTGCCGTACATCTTCTGAAGCTCACTGAAGGTGGGGCTGGGCAGGCAGGGCTCGTCCTGCTCCTCGTCCCCACTGCCCCCGAGGTGCTCTCGGGCCTGGCCCCGCCGACGCTCGGCCAGGCCAGCGCCCATGCCAGCGGCCTGCGCACCCTCGGAGCGCCTGGCACCCGCGGGCCTGCTCTGGGCCTCGCTGACGGCTGTGCTGTGGATGAAGGACTCCCCATACTCGTACAGGCTCTCTCGGGTGTGCACGATCTGGTGATCCACAAACTCGGAGATGACCGGGAAGGACCTCCCGCACTCATCGCACACGTAAGGCATGGCCCCCGAGTCCAGCGGCTGCGACAGGGCCGCGGGCGGTGCGCTCAGGTTGCTGCCGCCCACCGCCCTGGCAGCCTTGCGGGCCTCACCGCCGCTTTCGAAGGGCCGCTTCCTCGCCCCGCCCCTGGGATCGTGCACTGGGCCCTGCCCCTCGGCGTCGAAGTGGTAGCGCCTTTTTCTCTCCAGAGCGCGCCGTTTGGAAACCAGGTCTGAGCTACAGCTGAAGCCTCCTCCCCCAAAGGCGCCCCCCTCTGAGGCTCCCGCCTCCCTCCTGCTGAAGGACGCTTCCTTCCAGTCGCCGCCCGGCCTCCGGGAGAGCCGGTGCGGCCGCTCACTCGGCTCCCGTGCCCGCCCGGACCTGGAGCTGCGCGCCACATCCTTGATGAACTTCTCCATGATCACCCCGTGGGAGGACTCGGCCTCACAGATACCCCGCCGGTGGGCTGACTTCCTGGTCTCGGGCCCTGTCTTCAGACCTGGAAGAAGCCCTGTGTGAGCACTCTCTGGGGCCCGGGGATGAACGCCTGTACCCTGTGCCCTGACTACGTGCCCCCAAGTGTCACTGCATGCCGCCACGTATCTATGTGCACACCCCGTGTGACTGTGTGTGCTGCTGTGTCTGTGCACACACAACCCCCCCCACTGTGTGGCAGTGTGTGTACACCACCGTGTCTGTGCGTGCACCCGGCACCCACTCCTGCCACAGGGCCTCATGCTCACCTCTACTGGTGCTCGGGTAGGCACTTCTCTTTGACCTCGACGAGTGGCCTTGGGTCATGTGTGAGTGGCCGTCATCCTCGGCAAGCTGAACCCCTGTCCGCAGGAAGAACATAGCATGAGCCGTGTCACTGCGGACAATGGGCTTTCTCTCGGGCGCTGAGCGTGCCCTGGATGGCCTGTGTCTCACTCTCCTTTCCTCACTGTCCATTCCTTGGCCCCTTGCCCATCTCTTCTTGGTTAATTCCCCAGACTCTGCTAACAAGATTGCACAGAGGCCCCTGAGCGCCCCTAAACCCAGAGAGTCCTTGCTGGCTCTCTGGCTCCACAGGTTTCCCCACGTGTCACGGCCCGCACAACCCCTCACGGGCCCACTGCTGCCTCAGACCCAACCACGTGTCCCCTGGGGAAGCCACCCAGGACTGCAGACCTGCCTCAAAGCAGACTGGAGTCGCAAGGCGGCACTCTGGGGTGACAGTCGTGTGGGCATAGCCCCGCCGGAGGTCACAGGACCACTCCCTCCCACTCCTGCTCTGCCAGGAGCCGCGTGACCCCTCTTTCAGTGCTCACCCAGTGAGAGCAGCTTCCGGTAGTTCTCCATGTTGTCCTGAATCGGGTTCTGGAGTTTGTGATCCTCAGTGAGGGCCACCATGTCCTGGTACAACACCGCCTCCTGCAACAGCAGACGTGTCCTCAGTGGGGTCTGCCCGGGTGCCCGCGGCCAGGACCGCGCCAGTGGCGCGGGAGCCACACACACACACAGTGTGCAGCAAGTGCTCGCAGCGCCGGGGGCTCCGAGTGGTCTGGTCAGGCTCTACTAGGGACCTACGTCGTACCTACCTTGGCGCTACACTCTGAGGAAGCTCCCAAAGACGGAGGGCACATATTCCTTGCCCTCATGCAGCTTATCATTTGGTTGGAGAGAAACAATCAGAGAACAGTAAACAACAAAGTGGGGTGCAGAGAGTCGGCGCTAAGCGGGCATGGCAGGGGGACAGCTCAGGGTGGGCTGGGGGGTGAGCAAGACCCGCAGGTGTGGGTGGGGCCAGGAGCGCTGCTGAGGCCCCAGGAGGGGCACGGAGCCAGAGGAACGCCAGGGTCAGAGGAGCTCAAGCACCTTCACGACCGAGCAAGCTGGGAACAGAAGTCCTCCCAAACCTCAGCGACCTCATCTGTGAAATGGAGAGGAGGGTGTCCACCTGCCCCCCTCACGCTGTTGGGGTCCTGTCACGTGGGCCGCTGACCTGGGGCAAAGTACTGAGGGGTTAACAGTAGGTGTGCATGTCCCGCCACGTGGTCTGCTGCGCGTGGGGCTAAGTGTGCAGGAAGCCTGCGTGGGCCTCCCTGGCGGGCCAGCACCTAGGACCCTGGGCTTCCACTGCAGGATGCCTGGGCTCAGTCCCTCGTCAGGGAACTGAGGCCCCACACACCATGTGGCCGGGCCGAAAAGTAAAACAAAAAAATTATGTAAAGAAAACAAGTTGTTGTCACTACTGAACTACTGTGTGAAGACAGCTGACATTAAATCTGCCATGGTTCCAGGAGCGGCACAAGACACGACAGCCATGTGCCAGTGCAGCAAAGAGAAGACAACGACGTTGGCACAGTCAGGCACAGCCCCCACCGAGAAGCACCAACAAGCACAGGCCCTGGGGCTGAAGGGGAAGGAAACCTCCTTCACACAAGTGCCAGAGTCCAGCAACTAGAAACAAAACCTGGCAAAACGAAGCAGGGCTTCAGAAACGAACCCCTCGCCAGGCCGAGGCTGCGGAGTCCAGGGGCACTCAGGGCTGACAGCGCCCCCTCCTGAGGCCTCCCCGAGTTATCACAGTGCAGGAGACGCCGTGGGGGTGGGCGGGGCACAGCTGTGTCTGCCATGGGACAGGAGGAAACCGGAGCTGCTAGCTCAGGGCCGGCAGAGAGCAGATGAGGTCAAGAAACTGGGGGGCCAAGGGTGCCACAGGGCACCACCCCTGGTGCTAACAGACCCCAACAGGCAATGGCAGAAGGAAATGGCACCTTCCACACCTTCCTGTCGGTCGAATCTGAGTGACACAAACATGCATTACCTTCTGGACTACACTGTTCCCAGAAAAGAGCACGCTGCTCTGACTTGAGCTGGCCCGACCACTGGACAGCCCTAAACAGGGTCCGCTCTCTCACGCGGCTGCACGGGTGCCCTCCCCCACATGGCCACGTCGCATGCGGCCATCTTTCTCGAGCCCCTCCTTGCCTGTGCCTCTGTCCCTAGTGCACAGGGGCTGGAAGTGACAGCGTGCCCCCTGCGTGCCAGGCCACACACTGTGCACTCCTCACAACAGCCCTGCTGAGGCTGTTGTCACACCCATTTCACAGATGAGGAAACTGAGGCTTGGTGCAGCTAGCGGGCTGGCAGGTGGTAGAGCCAGGCTGCAGACTCAGCTCTTCTCGGCTCCGGGACCTGAGCGCCCTCTCCCTCTGCTCTGTGCATGGGACAGCCGACCGCCAGGGGACATGAGTGCTGACCCCGTGAATGAGCTGGAAAGCAGGCAGCAGTCACTGCGGCCACTGGTCACCCCTGGGCTCTCTCCCCAACCCTGGTGGGCTTCTACGTGGCAGATAACTCAGACTCCCGAGAAAGAAAGGCACCTCCAACACGGAGTGAAGACGGCCCTCCCAGAACGAGAGGAAACCTGGGCGCACCTCGGATCTGGCGTCCAAATCCAGCAGGGAGTCCCTGCGTCTGTGCTCTCTCTCCTTGGCTCTCTCCGCCAGAGGAAGGGCGAGGTCCCGCTGGTGAAACCCTGGGAAGGGAGAGGTGGCGTGAACGGACGCAGCGCAGCAGGCGGGAGGGCGAGTGGGGGGGCCGTCGCAGGGACACGTACTGCTCCTGGGGCTCCGGACGGATGGCCAGCGGTCCCGTGACCCCATGTCCCGGCTCCGGCCGCGGCGGCGCTCCCGCTCCCGCGCCCGGCCTCGCTCCCGGTCTCGCTCCCAGTCCTGGTCCCAGTCCCGGTCCCGGTCCTGGTCACCTGTGGATGCAAACGTGCGGAGCTGACCACGTGCTCTGCACACCCCTCCACACCGCTCTCCCCTGGGAGCTGGGGACCATACCGAGGGGCAGCTGCCCCCGACACCGGGGCCTGGGCCTGCTGCTGTGGCCTGGACCCACTTCCGGGGCCTCGCGCAGGCTGGCCTGGCCTCGGTCAGGCCGATGCCCTCTCAGGGGGGCCGATGCCCTCTCGGGGGGCCTGCTCCCGCTTCAGGCTCTCCTGGTGTCCCGGCTCCTGCGGTCTAAGCCTTCAGGAGGGCCATCTGCCAACCCTCCATGGCCTAGCCAACCCCGGCCCGTCTTAACATGCTCCCCACTTGTCTATAGAGAGATAGAGCACCATCCCCAGAGCACTGCTGCTTCAGAAAGTTGTCTGGAGAACCCTGAACAAACGAACAGCTGTGCAGGCAAAGTGGTGATGAACTTCGCCTCCCAGAGGCTGTGGGCACAACCTGAAACAACCTACTGCAAATTCCAAATAGCTTCAAAATTTTAAATGTTTCCCTCATCATCAAACAATAAAAAGTTGTATTTCACTCCATGGATGTGTCTGCTCTGATGAAAACGTCTCATTCCGCCAACCCAGAATCCCCCGCCCCAGATCACCGGGCAGCAGCAGCAGGGCCCCAGCAAAGGGCTGCGCGCAGACCCCGCGGTGGTGGGCAGCTACTCACCACAGCAGGGGAGGGCGGGGCGCGGTGGCGGGGACTCCGCGGCCCTCCGGCTCACTCCGCCTTCGCTGTGGGTGTCGCTGCTGTTGTCGTCTGAAGGGACACCAGACACGGCTCAGGAGCTCAGCCACGCTTGCCCATTAGCTTAGCCCCTGAGGGCGCCTGCCACGGCCCTCTCCACCGCCCCCGGCCCCTTGCGGGCAGAAAGGCTGGGGTTGCCACATCCAGCGCCCCCCCCCGGCCCCCCAGAATAATCCTGCCAGAGCAGTGGGGGCCCCGCCTTCCCCCTGGCTCACCTTCCGGCTCGTACATCTCCTCGTAATCTTCCAGCAGAGCAACGAGCTTTTCGCAGTTATCCGGCTTTCTTGCCTGCACCCAAGGCTTGATCTTTTCCGGAAGGATGGTCAGGAACTGCTCCAGAACCAAGACCTCGATAATCTCCTCCTTGGTGCGAGTCTCCGGCTGCAACCAATCGAGGCAGAGGTTTCGGAGTTTGAGAAGGGTCTTCCGAGGCCCAAGGAATTCCACGTAGAGGAAGTTCCGAAACCTCTGATGAAAGAACTCAGAGTCAGTGGCGCCTTCTCCTGGGACGGCGTCCGGCTCAGACAAGTCACTGTCTAGCTCATACTGGTTTGGGGCCCAAGACTTCTTGGGTTTGGTGGCGGACAAGGACTTGGGAGGCAGCATGTCTCTAAGGAAAAGTCTCACTGGAGGAACCCAACATGCGCCAACAGGGCAGATGCGGCAGCAGGGGCAGGCAGTGCTCAGGGACCTGCGGATCGTAAGGAGACACACATGTCCCAGGGGTCGGGGCCCGCCCGGCGGGGGGACAGGCCCAGGGCGGGCACCGCACCACACCCCCGACACACAGACACATGCGAGGAGTCGCAAGCAGCACGCCTGCAGTGGGAGGACTGCGCCCTGCTCCTGACTGCCTCTGCGACCCTGGGCCTGGGAGCCCGCATCCTGCAGTCTGTCCCTCCCCGGCAGACCCGGGGCCGTGGACCCGCGTGCCTCCTGTGGCCTCCGTGCACAGCACAGGAAAGCCACACACACACGTGGCCACGGGGGCCGGGGCCTCGAGTGCTCTGGGCGGCTCCTCTGCGCCTGCGCTCTGCGTGTGCAACGCGTGCCGGCCAAGCTGAGGGCCCCTGGAGTCAGCAGCCCAGCTCCTCTGTCACACTAGCCACGCCCCCGCCACGCCGGCCGCGTGGCTGCCCTGCGTCTGCGGGCAGCAGGCATGCCTTCTCCACGGCGTGCGCCCCGAGGGCAGCCTGGGCCCGTCTGCACCACTGCCTCTGGTGCCCAAACGGAGGGCAAGCTACTGGTATTCCGGGCACTTCTCGAATTTCGTCTTAAGTATCTGAGCCAACTGGCCTGGGCCCCACTGTGAAGGGATCAGAGACAGATGCTTCCCTCACTGGGAAAGTCAGGGATCAACACCGGCCCCGCCGGCGTTCCGTGGAGCTTAGACCCCGGTGCCCAGCTCGGCAAGCCGGCAGAAGGTCAGATGGAGCACCACTGAGTCCGTGGGAACCCCACATCTACTACTCACATCAGTGGTGATGACATGCCCAAGTGGCCAGCAGGCTTCTGCATGCCCCGCACCTCCTCCTGCTCTGGCCAGCCTCGTCTGAGACCCAGGGGTCTCCAGAGAAAGCAGCTTGCTACTCCCTTCACCCTCCCGTTGCTGCGGCTCTATTCTAGGGTCTGCCCACACCCTGCTAAGAGAACTTCTCAGGCCGAGTGTAAAAGCCGACTCCCCGTCCTCCTCTCGCTCTGGTGTCATCAGCTAAGGCTCCTCACCCCCCTTCACCTGGGCCACTCAGCGGCCCATGAGCTCTCTGGCCCCGCCTTGTCCTCAGTGGTCAGCCACGCTACAGCAGGAAGCGGGCGGCACAGCAAAGAAGTCCAGGTCGGGGTGCAGTAACTTACCTGACAGTTTTGTACTTCTGACTTTACTTCCAGAGAAGGACAAAACCACATGCAGCAAAAATTCTTTTTTGTTTTAAAAGGAAAACCAGTAAGTTTAAAAAAAATTGTTTTTAATGTCTAAAGAGAAAACAAAAGGGGTTTCAATTATTTAGTCTTACAGCAGCCTTCCTGACTGGGGCATGAATGCCTCACTGTGGTGGGCTCGCTCTGCCCCTGCACACACCCCCACTCTCTCTGTAGCGCCCTGCCCACCAGCTGGGCAGACCCTTGCCTCCGCCACTCCCGCTCTGCCTGCCCTGCCCTCCTCTCCTCCACAGCAGACAGGGTGCCAGGTGACAGCCTGCTGGGCAAGCCCCCAGGCTCTGGAGAGCTGCCGTGAGCTGACCTGGAGCCTGGCGAAGAGGGACTGCCTGACCAGAGCAGGGCCCTCAGAGCCCGTGGGCCTGGGGGGGACAAGGCAGTGAGCCCCGGTCTCTCCATGGCCTCCGATTCAGAGAACTTGCTCCCCTAGATGGCCACGGCCCCACCTCTCAAGAGGCCACGGGACACCCCTGGGTATGTAAATCACCTGGTGGGAACAGGGTCCCTTCCGGAACTTCTGAACAAGTAGCTATCCACAGGAACACAGTCAAAATGCCAGGTACCTGCAGACATTTTAAAGAAAGAGATACATGGACAAATCAACACAGAAGAAGTGTCAAGAGTGTCAGAGAATTCATTCTCCATGTGGCTGTGGACTGAGACCACGCTTGTGGGCAAGGCCTTTAGGTATCGTCTTCAAGAGAGGGCCCACTCCCCCATCATATAAACCAACCAGAGACAGGAGGTAGAAAGCTTTTGAGTTTCTGCTATGAAACCTGAATGATTTAAGAAATCTAAGACAAAGGGAGAACTACAGAACTCCAGACCAAACTCCCTTCTGAAGCAAACACACACTAGTCTGACTGCTGAGCCACACCCCCTTGAAACTGCAAGCCACACACCTCGATCCCATTTGTTCCTACACTAAACCTTTCATAGTCTCTACACATACTACATCGTTTCTAACAAAATGAGATCACACTAGGGGCTCTCTCTGTGTGTGTATTTTTAAACGCAGTAATTTTTGATAGACACCTTTCCAATCAGTACATATAGATTTACGTCATTGTTTCTAAAGGCCACACAGTCATCCTTTCTATGGATACAGTCAATTCACACTTGATGGAAATGACTAATGTAAAAACTGTTTAAAGCATTAAATGAAAATACTAGGGTATGAAATGGTATATAGCATATCTGGCATTCTTACTGCAAACATACTCATTTATATGTACAGAGAAAATGATAAAGATGTCCCCACATGGAATAAAATGCAGTTTTAGAAAGCAAAGCTATAAATGGAAGCATGTTTATACTGAAATTCTTACGGCTGTTGCTAAAGAGCTGCACAAAGTCATGTCCACACACAGAAACACACCCACATAAATGTAATGGACACAAGGTGCCAACTTTCACATCACGCCCCACCCCCAACCAAATGTTGCCTAACACCCCACTTACACTTCACTCTGGTGGCCTGAGTTTGAAGCCTTAATGAATTGGGCATAGTCTTATTAAAATAAAAAAAGCTACACAGGTACTTAAATGTACGGAGGTGCGTACAAACCAAGGTAGAAGCAAACTTCCATGTAAACTGGGAACTTCCCTGATGGTCCAGCAGTTAAGACTCTGTGCTTCCACTACAGGGGGCACAAGTCTGATCCCTGGTCAGGGAACTCAGATCCTGCATGCCACACAGTGGGCCAAACAACTACATAAATAAAACTTGCATAAAGACCATTAGTAAAGTGGGGAAAACTGAAAAAGGAAATGATTAATAAAAGACACTTTATTATACATTTCAATTTAGAATGTTATTTGAAGTTCACAATCAGAAAAAAATTTGAATATAAATTTGAAGTAAGCTCAGCAGCTGTGGGGCTTTCCTCTCCTTTCTGTTGACCAGTGCCCACAGTAGCCTCTCCTCCTGTGGCTCCCTCCCTCTCCCACCTGTAGTGCTCCATGGAGCATCCCCCTTCCCCCCCCTCCCCCCACATATTCTTCAGGGCAGAACAGCACTGCTGGGGCTCCCCACCTAGACCCTGACATCGCCATCTGCTGTCCCTTCTGCCTCCCTGAACTCTGGCCCCGAGGGAACCAGTGTGGTTTCCGGGCCTGGAGGTGGGCTCTCACTGGCCCTAGTTACCAGGCCCCCACCGCACTCTCTTTGGAGCAGGAATCCCAGAGTAAGTTGAGCAGTGGTCAAGGGCAGGATTTTAAAAGTCAAGGTCTGACCACATTCAGAGGATGGGGGCGAGGGTGGGGTCACACAGAGTTAGGACTCAGGCCATCTCTGGTTGTAGGGCCAAGGGGGGCATCAGCTCTGCGGGTGGGGTGGACAGGAGATGAACAAGGGCAGACGGCCAGGACGAGGTATCACCACCTAACCAGGCAGAGGGGTTTACGGGGCTCCAGCTCAGCTGTCCTCAAACACACTGGACAATGAGCGTGAAGCCTGTGCGCTGTGAGCACTGTGTGCAGATGGAGCTCAGCGCTGAGCCGGGTCATCCCACCATGGCACAGCAGGGCTGCCGGCAGGCCAACAGCGCTGCCCCTGTGGTCCATGTGGGGTACTTGGGCCGCTCTTTGAATATCTTACAGTCCTTTATTTCTACTTCATAAAAATGTACAGAAAACGAAAGCACAGCCTCACAATTAATGTACGTGAAACAAAGCTGGAACTCACATGTTCCTGCCACAGGTCAGGGGTGGTGGGGGGGGGTCTTTGGCCTCAATCAAAGATCAGTGGGTCAACTGTTGAACTACACGGGGAGGAACTCGACTACTGGGGGCTGGATCGCTGGCTGGGCCATGGGAGGAGAAGCAAGGCAGTCCGTGGCCCACTGGGACCCCAGGCTCCCCACATCCCACCAGGAGTGCCAGCAGCTCCGTCGTGTGGTCTCCAAGCCCAGTCCCACTTGCTCACTTTGGGGCCTCATCATGGAGCTCTGAGACCCAGCCCCTGTCTCCTGCTCCCTACCTTATCAGAGGGGCTGGAATTGAAGTTACTGCCTTCATCTCAGGGGCAGCAGAGGGCACGCACTCTTCTCTCATGCGCTCCGTTCTCCTGCCTGTCTCTGCACACAGCCTTACTTTTTTCAATGTCTTTCATTACCCAAAAGACTATGAGCTCCAAGGAATCACTTCCTTTCCCACTCAAGGTCATGACTGATAGAAGACTCAATGAATTTCTCAGGCTTCCTTAACTACCCAATGAGAAAGGGCAGGCCTGAAGGAGTAGCTGAGTGCTGGGAAAAGAGTCTGGACACCCCAAAGGATGGCGTGAGACCAAGGAGAATCTGGTGAACACATGGTCCACCGGAACAGTCTGCACACTCTTAGCGAGCACAAACGGTGCTTGAGGTCAGATGGAGCGCGTGTGCAGCAGGGAAGCGTCAGGCTCAGGGAGCACATGCTCATCCCCAGGATGGCGTGACGTTGTCAGAAGGGACTTCAGCTCACCTGGACCCAGACACCTGGCGTTTGGACCGAGTCCCTCTTCCTCCCGCCGATCACCTCGGAGAAGAAGAGAGCAGAGCTGGGGAAGGAAAGGAAAACATGAGACCTCAAATTTATTCTCCACATCCTGGAATTCCCAGGCTGGAGATGACCCCACACAGTTTCATCTCTACCTCCCACAGGGTGGGTGGGTCATCAACCTCACCCCTGGGGCGTACGTTGCACTGTGGGCTGTAATCACAGCTTCCCCCAGTGAGGTCATGTCAGTGGGTGTGCACTCAACTCTGAGTCTGTGTCTCAGAGACTTCTCTAACAAGCAGAGCAAAACAGTAAAAACACAGGACTTGGGGCTGAGAAATTCAAGACCCCAATTTCCCACTTAATAGCTCTGCTGCACCCGCCACCCTTTTAAAGTTAAGGTACACACGCTGCAGGTAGAAACTGGAGGAAGAAAATGGCTAAGAAAATAGTACTACTTATTGTTAATTACGTGCCTCCTATAGTGCTTAGCACCTTACTTTCAGCATCTCTGTTAATTCTCACATTATTAATTTTCTACATATTTTACAAAAATGAAGCAGAGAACTCAACCTCAGAGTTCATGGCAATTACAGATCAACTAATGTCATTTTGGAAAACAGTACATCTACAGATATTTTCTATGGAAACCTTGTGAAACAATGATATAGACACCACCCAGAAAGATGAGCTGAAATTCTATTTTTGCCATGTGATAGCCAGTGATGCAATTCCAGAAGTTTTACTGTGCTGCACACCTATGCAGCATGAAGAGACTAGCTTATATTAGGACCTTAATAAACAGTCACCATCACTACTATGAGGTAACGGCATCATTACTTAACCTTCACAACATTTTAGGTTATCAACGAGATCCCTGTGGACGACACTGCACGTTTCAAGTCCCACTGTGACTCGGAGCATGTGTTCAATCAGAGGCCCGTAGGAGAAGCTCCTTCAGGACTGTGCCTCTGGCTTTTATCACTATCAGCTGTCAGCGGATGTATAATTAGGGCCCGCCCACCACACACTTGGCAACGCCCCCCTCACACTACCCCTCCCTGCTGGGGCCACCCCGCCCCGCCCCGCTTCCCAATCCCGCCCACCTGCTAGCCCCTCCTCCGTCCAACCAGGCCCCATGCCACGCCTCCCTCGTAACCTTCCGCCACCGCACATGCTCCAGGCCATCTACGAGCTTGAGTTTTTTTTCCTTCAAGTCACCGCCTACCAACCTCAGAGCCTCCCACCCTCAAATCTCACATGCACAGCCTCCTCCACCCTCTCACTTAGGAACCCACCCTCCCCCAAGTCTATTAAGACTCTGTTTCCCACGTGACCCATGGATGTGCACAGTTCAGCCCTGTCCCACAGCCCCCGCCCCCACCCCCTCCAGGGAACACGGCGCCATCGCGCGGTCGCTGAGATGTGGCGCAGAGGCAAGCAGCGGTCCACCTGGCGCCTGCACAGCAGAGACTGCAGGGCGGGCTCGGTCTCCCGGGACACCAGAGGCGGTGGCCCGCTAATCCAGCCCCGCTGGCACTCGCCACGGCGCATGCGCAGCAAGCAAAGCCCACCCCCTGCCACTCAAGATGGCGCCTGCGCAGTAAGCCTCACCGCCACCTGTCGGTCAGCCTAGCTCTAGGTGAGCGGAGAGCTCTGCAGCCCCTCCCCCGGCCCACCCCCTGAAGCCAGCCCCACGGTCATTCAAAACGGTGCCTGCGGAGTAAGCCTCGGCGCCCCCTGTCGGCCACCGGAGCACTAGGTGGGTAGGGGCCTGCAGCCCCTCCCTCGGGCTGCCCCTGCAGAACCACCGTCATTCAAGATGGCGCCTGCGCAGTAAGCCTCGGGCGCCACCTGTCAATCAACAAACAGCACTGGAGTGGGAGGGCTCCGAGGCCCCGCCCTCGGCCCGCCCCTGCGGCCAGCCCCGCTGCTATTCAAGATGGCGCCTGCGCAATAAGTCTCGGCGCCACCTGTCAGTCCACAGTGTTAGAGTGGGCAGGGCTCTGGAGCCCCACCTTCGACCCGCCTCCTGAGACCAGCCCCTCTGCCATTCAAGATGGCGCTGGAACTGGAAGCCTCGGCCGCCGCCTGTCAGTCAACAAACAGCACCGGAGTGGGCAGGGCTCTGCAGCCCCGCCCTCAGCCCGCCGCCTGCGGCCAGCCCCACTGTCATTCAAGATGGCACCTGCGCAGTGCCATCTTCTCTTGCCATCAAGACTTGGCGCCACCTGTCAGTCAACAAACAGCGCTGAGTTGGGCGGGCTGCTACAGCCTCTCCCTCTGCCCGCCCCGAGACCCGCCTCGCTGTTACTTAAGGCAGCGCCTGGACAGTAAGCCTCAGCTTGTCTGTCAACAAACTGCAGTGGGGAGGGCAGGGCTCCGCAGCCCCTCCCTCAGCCCGACCCCTGCAGCTCCGCCGTTATTCACAATGGTTTCTGCGCAGTGAGCCTCGGCGCCACCTGTCGGCCACCATATACATTGTCACAGCGGGCAGGGCTTCACAGCACTCTGCAGCACTCGGTCCCCACAGACGGCCCGCGGCTCCATGCCCTCGCGGCACCTGTGCAACGCGTCTAGGCTGTACCCGCCGCCCAGTCCCCACAGCGCCAACCAAAGCATGGAGCCAGAAACATCCCAGGGTAAAAGCAGTGCAGAAGGGCGTCATGCTCTGCAACCCCAGGGCAGCCACGGAGAGGCAGCGGGCACAGTAACAGCCAGCGGCCCTGTCCTCAGGACGACAGCTTCTGAGTGACAGCAGTGTGGCCCCCGCGGGTCAGAAAGAAGCCCCCTCCCGCCACCAGACCACAAGCCGGTCGGGGTGACGCATCGCGGCAAGCGTCCGCGGCAAGCGTCCGCGGCAAATCTCCACGGCCGACCCGAGACCAGCAAAAAACGGGTGACAGAGGGCCCCCTTAGCCTTCAATCGCAGCTCAGACTCGGGCACCACGACCCGCAGCCCCGCCCCCGTGGCTGGCCAGCCGGACCGCGCCTGCCAAGCTTCTGCCGCCCCCATCAAAGATGGCACCGCGGCGGCGGGTTTAACTGGACGGTCTCTTCTGAGACCCACTGTCACGACAGCCCTCGGCCCGCCCCGGCCAATCAGAACAGCGTCCTTGCAGCCCATCTCCGCCGCCGCTCCAAAGACTGCTCCAGGGTGGGTGGGCCGCAGCGCGTCACCGCCCTGAGAACACACCCCGCAGGCACTGCCATCCTCGGCCCCGCCTATAGCTCCTCCCGCCGCCACTGCGGCAAGCAAGCCCCGCCCCAGACACCGGCAAGGATGCAGGGGTGGCCGGAGGGGACCTGGCTAGTCTAGGACCCCGGGGGATGGGGTGTCTTTTGCAGCCCTCAGGCCAAGCCGAGGAAGACGGGGGCACCCTGTGACTTCTGCTGCTCGTCAGGGACCGCCGCCACTGCTCCAGCACCCACCCCAGCGGACGCGGAGCCTGGAGCCCGTGGCCGTCCCACCCCCTGCCCAGGATGATCAGCCGTCCCTGTACACGCTACGCTCAAGACAGGTGGCATGGGAGACCCAACCCCAGACTCCGGCTGGCCGCGCAACATGGTGCGGCTGCGGCAAGCGCGGCAGCTCTCGCCCGCTGACCCGGGTCCCGGCTCTGCGGCATCCATCCCGGCGCACCATCCAGATGCGGTGGTGCGGGCCGGGGCAGCCGGACTCACCTCACCGGACCTCAAGGCACCACCCTGCCCCGGGCTGACAGCTCGACCACAGCGCAGCCTGTGCAAGGTCTAGTGCCCCCACATGGCCCCAGGCGCTCAGCGGCACCACCAGCCAAGGGTGGACAAGTCCGATCCTCTGCTCCAACCTCTTTCTCCCGCGGCTCCCAGCGTCTGCACGGAGCCCCGGCCGCGCGGCTCCTTGTCTGGTTCTCCGCAGAGGCGGGGCCGGGCACCGGCCAATCAACGGCTGTGCGCGGCGCCCAGGGCCCCTCGCCACACCCCCAGCCCTGCCCATCGGGCCGCGGTTGCCGTGGCGACTGCTTGGCGCGAAGGCAGGAGGTTGACGTCAACCGAGCCAACGCGAGGGGCCCTGAGGAAGGGTCTGGAAGGGGGGGGGGTGTTCGACCCCCAAACAAAGAAGGGGGGGTCACAAGGAGAAAGCCTTACCAACGACTCCCAAATGCAAATCCTCTGAAGAGACCACACAAACAAACAAACAAACAACCCCGTACATTTGTCTAAGAAAGTGAAAAGCTGGCGGGCAAAAACATGTATGTTGAAGTTAAAGACAAACGAGAAAGTGGGAGACGAGACTTTTCCGCCTGGGACACACGAAAGACCCGGGGCTAACTTTCCTAATAAACGAAGAACTTGGAAACCGATACGGTAAAGACCAAATCGCGCCTGAAAAATGGGCAAAAAGGGAGGACACTGGCAATTCACAGAAAAGCACAAATGGCTGACAGACCTACGGGACAGAACTCTTGACCCGACTTCCAAAGACCGAAAAACCGAGATCGCAGACCCGCGCGGCTCCGCAGGCGCTCTCCTCAAGCGGCCGCGCGCGCCGCCGCCGGGCCGGTCCACCGCCGTCCAGCCAGACCGTTGGCGTGCGGGGCGCACCGCCGCCTGCGGAGACCTGTGTGCGGCGGGAAATGCGGGCTGCGCCTCGCAGGACAGACCACCACCGAAGACTCGGCCGCCAGTCACACCGACGGTCCGGCCGAACCATGCAGACACGACCCGGTAAGTATTCGCACTTGTTTGTTAAGGGTGAACATACACGCGGTTAAACCTCTGGGGAAGCGTGCAAGAAATTGTCGGCCGGTCACTTCGGGGGCCACGGGAGTGAGGGGAAGGAAGATGGAGGAGGGCTCCTGCCCGTCTCCAGTCCATTCTGCCAGACTCCCCTTCCAGAAACACGCGTTCTGTCGTGCGGTAGCCGCGGGGCGTCTCAGAGAGCCTCCCGAGGCGCGGGTGATCCGGCCGCCCCACTCTCCAGGAATAAAGCGGAGAGGTGTGAGCGAGTCCATGCAGGCATGCTCAGCGAGCGTCACTTTTTATGAGAAAAAGGCACTCTGTGGAAGCACCAAACTGTACTCGGGCAAAGCCATACCGTGCAATTTTATGTGGCCGGCCAGTTAAAATGTAAGACTTGAATTTTAAAGAAGATTCATGAGATATAATTAATTACAAAACGTACGTTACCCAAGAACATAAAGAATAGGATATCCAAAATGAAAATTTATATTTACACTTCGTAAGTATAAATATTTATAAATCAGTGGTTCCTGGGGATACTGGAAGCTGCTGACCTAGGGCGGGGGGTGAGGGGGGGCGGTGTTTGAAACCCTCCAAGACTTCAACAGTCTCCGGTCAGCCAGCAGTGCCACGTAAACAGAAAATCTGAATGAAAATGCCTTTGCTCTGCACCCTTGAAATGTACTCCTCAGGTGCATCCACGGAAATTCTAGAGGTACCACTGAGAGTGAATGCGGTCCTAAGCTTAGGGAAGAGGTTTCCAAATCTGGCCACACACGTCAGGAGCCGCTGGGGGAGCTGTTGGACGCTGCAGGTGCCCAGCGTCCCACAGAGGTGTTTTTTCCGAACCCCGGAGGGGAATTTAAAGTCTGGCTAGGGTCTGGAAGGTGATTTAACACATTCAAGGGACCCCTCCATCCCCTCTCTCCTCAAAGAGCTCTATCTGCAACACAGGTTTTTCTCTGGATCCCGCATCATTCACTCCCATCAGATAGCACATGCTCTCAGAGCGTCTCCCCTTTCTCAGCACTCCCTTCTGGCACCGGCCAATAAAGCCTTCTTGATGGAGTGGTCTCTGTCACCGACTCAACAGACTTACTGCGCATTCTCTCCCCTTACCATGCCACACGGGGGGCTTCCTCCTTTCCACACTCCCGAAACCACTTGGCAATTTCAGCAGTTCTCTATGTGGCTAGGAGACTTGTTCTTAATCTCACTTGATCTTTCAGTAACATTCAACATCCTCATTAAAACAATGATAAAAACTCAGACCATCTTATTTTCAGAGACACTACACTACCCTGGTTTCCCCCTTCTGTTCTCTTAGCTGGCTTCTGCTCTGTTCAAGCTCCCAGTGCTCAGAACTCAGTCACTAGCCTTCTCCCTTAACATCTACTCCCTAGGCAGCAGTCTCACCTCGCGGGATGGTTTCAGAGCCACCTGCATGCCAACAGCTCCCCCTGGCACGGAACTCTCCACAGAAGCCGAGTCTCATATGCCCAGCGAGCTGCCTAACAGCCGAGTGCTCTACCAGGATGTCAAACGGGCAACTGAAAACACGAAAACAAACAGCAATGCCCCTTTTCCTTGTCCCTATAAACAGCACCAGCTGCAGCAGCCAAAAACCTTGCAACTGTTCTGGACTCCTGGTTCCCTTCCCACCAACATTCACCTCATCAGCAGGTCCTGCTGCCTCTACATCCAAGACACACTCCAAAGTTGTCCCCTTTTTGCTCTGCACGACAGTCCTAATCATTGCCCCCTAGGTATGAGCCTACTCACTTGACTACCTGCTTTGACTTCAAACCTTTCCCTCTAGTATTTTCTAGAGAGCATCTTCTTTAACCGTAAATAAGACATCATGTTGCAGCTTGAATTACCTTCTATTCTTGACCCCAATCATACTTCAATATGTCTAAAATCCATACCATGAACAAAGTTAAAAGGCATCAAAATCTTTTGGCACGGAAGAATGTTAAATATTTGTGCTGTAAAATTTAATCTTTTCCTTCAGATTTCTTCTTTTTATACCTTAAGAAATCTCTCTCCACGCTGAAGTCATAAAGATACAATACCCTTACGTTTTAGTCTTTTTAGGTTTAGTTTTATATATATTCTGCGGTATGGATCTATTTTTTCTCCTGACATATATCATGTTTCTATATGAGTGTTCCTAACCTCTAGTCTGTCCCATTGGTCCACATGTGTGCATTAATTATTGGAGCCTTACAATATCTTGATATCTTAAAGGACAATTGCCCTACCTTGTTTTTCAAAAGTGTCTTTGGCTATTCTTAGCCCTTGACATTTTACTGAATCCACAAAAAAATTTAAAGAGAACCAAAAACATTTTATCACAACATCTCATCTTTGCCTATGATCTGTGCTACCTGTTTATTCATGTCTTCTACAGCCAACAACAACAGTACATTGTAATTTTTTCCCATAAAGATCTTAGTTGACTTTTGGAGGTCTTTTTTCCTATTACTTACCTAACACGTTATTTTTGAGTTAAAACAGTGATAAAGCTTTTAAAAAATAATTTCATATTTATAGAAAAGTTGCAAAGATAATGTAAACATTGCTTCCTCAGTCCCCCCTGATGTTTACATCTTACCTAACTTCAGTACGTGGTCAAATGAAGAAATTACCACTAGTACAAAGCTAGTAATTATACTATAGATTTGCCATAAATGTCTTTCTTCTGTCCCAGGACCCCACCTAGAACACCACATTACATTTAGTTGTGTGTCCTTAGACAACTCCAGGCTGTGACAGCTCCTCGGTATCTCCTTGTTTTTCATGACTTTAGCAGTTTTGAGGAGTAGTGGTGAGGTATTTTGTAGAAAGTCTCAATTTGAGTTTGTCTAACAGTTTCTCATGATTTGTCTTGGATTATGGTTTTTGAGAATTATCTACTATTGCTTTTTGTATGTTTTTTTTTTTAAATCCAGTGAATTTGCTGACCTGTCCTTGTTAGCTCTAATAGTTTCTCACAGATTTTCCTGGACGCTTTAAAAATGTTAATCTGTTTATGACAGTTTTTAGATTTTTATTGACAATTATATCTCATTTCTATCATAATGCATTCTCTAGGACCTCTGGGGAAATATGGAATAAATCTTGTTCTAGACTTGAAAGGGGATACTTATCCTTTACTATCAAGTAAAAATGTCCACAGTAAGCTTGTTTGCAAAGCCTCTTTGTTGGGGATTAAGGAAATTCCCTTTAGTTCTAGTTTTCTAAAAATTTTATCATGAATACATTTAATTTTTATGTAATGCCTTTTCTGTTATCTATTGGGAAGATTATGTTATATAATCTGTTAATGTGGAGAATTAAGGCAAATTTTCTGATGTTGAAACATGTGGCATTTGTAACCCCTACTTGATCATGATAATGAGGGTCTGTCTGATTTATATACACATGTAGCAGGATACTACTGAGTTATATTTTACTTTTGGTTTTTGCACCTAAGTTCTTATTCTACTATATTTGTTTCATTTTGGTATCAAGGTTATACTAGCCTTATAAAATTATTTGGATTTTCTTCCTGCTTATATTCTCTATAACAGAACATATAAAATAGAGTTTCTCATTTTTGAAAGTTTAACATAACTCACTATAAAATTAAATCTGATGTCTTTTTGCATGAAATATTTTTTACTTGGTTTCCTTAGTTTTGTTCTATATTTCTGCTTTATCTTGAGTCAATTTAGGTCATTTATATTTTCTAACAAATTTGTCCTCTTTACTTATTCTTCTTTTATATTTAATTTCTGCTCTCTATTTTATTATTTCCTTTTTTTCTCTTTGAGTTTCTTTTCCTAGCATCTTGAGTTGCACATTTAACTCATTTACCTTTAATCTTTCTTAATTTTTAACAGGTACATTTAAGGCTATTACATTCCTTTCAAGTACCACTTGAACCGCATTCCATACATTTCACTGTTGTTTGGTACTATATTCCATTGCTGCAAATAGATTTCCTCTTAGTCACACTAAGGAATGTATTTAGGTTTTCAAGTTCTTTAAAAGTCTTTTGATTACAGATTTCCAATTTAACTACATTATAGCCAAATGATATGGCCTATATGTTATTATTTGATATTTGTTAAAATTTCTTTTGTGATCTTAGGATGTAATCAATTTTTAATTGTTCAGTGTATTAGAAAAGAATAAGTATTCTCTACTTGTCAGGTACCAATTTCTATTTATGTCCATAGGATCAAGTTCTGTGTTTACATTTTCAGTATTCTTATTTTCTGTCTGCTTGATATATCAGTTCTAAATAATTATTTTTTTAAAAAATCTCCCATTAGCCTATGGCTTCATTCACTGCTCCTGGTAATTCTTTTTAGTTTTTGCTTTTATGTATTTCAAGGCCATGTTTTCAGGTAGGAACAAGCTCATGATTTCCTCTAAATCAGATATCAGAGAAATTAATCTTGAAGTCTGCCTTTAATAGGGGAGTTAATCTGTTCACATTTTATATTTCTGATATACTTGCTTGTTAAATGTGCCTTTTCCTTTGTTCCTTATTTTCTCCTTTCCTGCCTTCTACTGAGTTGATCAAGCTTATTTTTTTTCCCTTTGCTAATTTGAAAGCTTTCAATTAAATTTGTTATTTTATTGTCTAGCTTTAAATTCCTAATTATATGCAAGTACTTATTTTTTTAAACAGAGTATAAAATAATAAAGGAAGCTGGCATACCTTAGCAATTCATTGAAGTTCTTATTCCTACTTTCCTGGTTACTGTCTAGAATTTTAGCTACATATTTTTAAAACAAACCCAAAGCACAATTTTTGCAGTCAATGATTAATTACATTTATTGATAATTTATTCTCATTTCTTGAATTTTACTCCTCTCTAGGTTCTTTTTTTCCCCTCACTGTAATAAATCCTTAACTAAGCCTTTTAGTATAGGGGGCAGTCTATTTGTGTTTCTAAAAATGGCTTTAAGATATTTTTTTGAATGACAGTTTACTTAGGTATGGAATTCTAAAGAGACCCTTCTCTTATTTTGAAGATATTATTTTATTGTCTTCAACATCTAACATTGCTGATGAGGTTTGCTATGATCTAAATGTTCCTAATAGCATTGGTTTTTTCCTCTGTGGCTTTTCAAAAGGTGTTACATATGGATTTATTTTTGTTTCTCCTGCTCAGGACTTGTGTGACCAATGAAGGTCTTTCTGCCATTCTGCAGAATTCTTGGCCAGTCTATCTTGGCCAATATAGCTTTTCTGCCATTTCAACTTTATTCTCTTCTCAACCTAATAGAGTATATTCGCCCTTCTTAGTCTGTCCTTTGTTTATGTTCTCTACTTTTCATATACTTTTCTGGGTTGCTTTCTAAGTAACTCCTCTTTTGAACTGCATCCAATATAGTGTTTACCTTGATGTGTTTTACAGTGGCCATTTTTTTTTCATGTGTAAGATTTTTAATCCATACTCTTTTATATCCACCTTTGTCAAATGGATGAACATTTTATGAATACTATTCTTTATCTTTCAAGAATCTTAAAGTTATACTGAAATTATTAGAATTGCATTTTATCAGGAATGAATTCATCCTGACAGCTGATTTTGTTGTCTTGCTTATTAAGTTTTCCTATGTTTAACTCAGTGCTTTGTAAATTTAGTTTCTAAGTGTTTCTTAGAACACTTGGCTATCACCCCTGACCCCACCTGTCTCTTCCCTCCATATCTAGCTTTTTTCTTTTTTTTGGTTGTGTCTTCTTTGCTCTGAGAAACTTAGTCCTGAGACAAGTCAAATGGGGGCTCTGTGCCATGTGATAAACGGGTATGTCAGTCACTGAGCAAAATTTAAGCACAGGCTGGGTCTGCTCTACATGGCCATGTGTTCACTCCTGCCACTGCTCTTAATATAAGCTGAAGCCCTGAGTAACTATTACTGGCTTTTTTCCAGTCTCATTTCATGTCAGGAGAATCTCACCCCAGCCCCTGTTTGACACAGTGAGCCTGGGACCTCAATATGCATGGAGTGCTTCTGGACCTTGTTACTCCACAGCAGTCAAATTGTTAACTACCTCCACCTATTTAAAGATCAGAAGTCCAACAGGTTCAGCTCTTCAACCCCACAGATCCTTGTTTTTCTGTTCAGTTTTTGATCCATACAAATGTCACGCACTTCTAGATCACTGGAAGTTATATTAAAAAGAGGTTGAAGTGTGAATGCAGCATTCACAGCACCAACTCAATCAAAAATATTATCCTTTTTTTGTTGGGGGGAGGGCTCACTGCCTGGCAGGTGGGATCTTAGTTCCCCAACCAGAGATCGAACCCACACCCTTTGCACTGGAAACGCAAAGTCTTAACCACTGAACTGCCAGGGAAATCTCCAAAATACTATTTTCTAAATTATCTACAGCAGTTCTCACTTCTTTCCCAAGTGTACAATGGGGTTTTCCTGAGGCTCTATGACATGTGGTATCATCACTGAGTGAATGCTGAAGCAGTTGAGAATCTAGCTCTTTTCATTCAAGCCAGTTGTTAAAGAGATTTGTAAAGATTTAAAACAATGCCATTCTTCTCAGTAGTCTTTTGCTTTGGGAATTATTAACATTAAATTTAAAAAAGGTTGCTTATATTAACATGTAATAAACTTACTACCTATTTTAAATTAATATACATTTAAAATTTTAATTTCTAAAACTATATATATTGATAGGTGTAATCCACATAAACAAAAATTCTTTGGAGCCCTAAATCATTTTCAAGAGTGTAAATGGGGCTAATTCATTTCAATGTATGACAAAAACTACTCTAATGATGTAAAGTAATTAGCCTCCAACTAATAAAAAAAGAAAAAAAAAAAGAGTGTAAATGGGTCTTGAGTTTGACAACCCCTGGTCTACAATAAATCGTTAACAGATTGGGTGATCTGGGTATTATGATCCCATGGATTTGCATAGAGTTTAGTACATGGTTAAGTCTCTTCAACGAATGCTTACTCATCCATTCTTTAAGAACTATTTGAGTGCCTTATATATATATATATATATATATATGGACCAATGCTAGGCCAGGTTCTGGCTCACTGCAATTAAATTCGAAATGGCCCCTGCCCTAAGTCATTTATTTCATAAATATGTCTTTAAGCTTCAGTCTAGCTGGCAAAATACATAAAGTTGACAAAATAAACCTTTAAAAATTGCAGTGAGGAGTCTGAAAAAAAAACCGGCAGCTGCAATGAGGTGGAGAGGTGGGTAAGTGTTTGTGTGGCAGTTAAATAGAGCAGTCAGGGAAGGCTTCTCTGAGGAAGAGAAGCTAAAACTAAACCATGAGAAACAGCTAGCCCTGGGAAGAGCAAGGGGAAGAATATTCTAGACAGATAAAATAGCAATATACAAAGACTAAAAAGGAAAAAAATAGACACCAGAATGCCTGGAGGATAGCAGGAATGGAGTAGAGGGGCGTAAAATGAGGTTTTACAGGTGTGCAAAAGCCAGTTCTTTAGGAACTGGAGGCCAAGATAAAGATCTTGAATTTGATCTAAAAGGTGATAGGGAGTCATTAAAGATGTTTAAATAAGGTCTGACATAATCCATTGAAAGACAATTCATGTTGCTGTGTGGAGAACTAGGGAACTAGAGATTGAAAAGAGAGGAGGCCCGTAGACCAGTTAGGAGGCAGCTGTCTAGGCAGGATGACAGTGCTCTGAACCAGCAGGATGGTAGTGGAGAGATAAGGAGAAGTGGACAAATACAACGGGTGTTTTGGAGACAAAATAGACAAACCCTGCTGATAATTTGTGTATTTGTGGCAAAGGAAAAAAACATCACAAATGATTCCTATATTTTTGGTTTGAGCAGCTGGGTAGATAGAAGTGTTATTTAGTGAGTTGTAGAGTCACAGGTTTGGGCAGGGGAAGAGCAGAAAATCCAGAGCTCTCTTTTTGATATGTTACATTTGAAATGCTGACCCTCAAGCAAGTGGAGATGTTGAGTAGGTACTCTGGAGAGGTCGGCTAGAGCTCTGACTCTGGAAGTTTTCCACACAGAGCTGTGAAGTGAACACTGTACTCTACAAAAACAAATTCAAAAATGCGTTCTTCAGTATTTAGTACTCTTGCATATATATTTAGTACTCTTGCATATTCAGTGCTGGATAGGTAATTATCTTAGTATACAAATTTGTATACAGTTCCTCAGTAATGCAAATCTAACCAATTTTCTTTGAGAGTGAACTTAATTTTTTAACCCCCTCTAGGAATTTCAAGACAACAGAAAACCAAATATCCACATAAAGGCAACAAAGTCTATCACAAAAACTGCTTCTAAATTCAAATATCAAACAGTTAACTACACATAAGATTAAAGACAGGCAAAGGAGAACCCCGTCACAAATCTGATGTTAGCAGAGAAAAATTCAGTGTCAAATCTGGCTGACAGTGTTAAGGTTCAGAACTACGAGACTTCCTATAGGCCAGGAAGGCTCGCCTACCCACAGTTCTGCTCACACCCCCCTGTCCAAGAGGGCAGCAGGCGCCTTCCCTCACAGGGAGCACAAGCACTCAGAGTCAAGTTATCACATGCCAAGCAAAATACTTATCTAAAAGACAAAAGGTTATTCACATACTTTTTTCTCATATTGGTTTGCCAGGCAGAAAGCTCTAATCCTGAACTGGCAAAATGGTAGACACTCATTTATTCAACCATTTAATAAACAGGTATTATCAAACAGATCCAGACACTAGGGATAAAATGATAAAGGAGATGCAGTTTCTGCTTTCACTGGGGTGTATGGTTCACGGTGACACCAAACAATTATAAACAGCCACATAAATAAGATGAATGACACGCAGTAAATGTGACGACGATACACTGTGCTATAAGCATGTATATGAGGGAGTCTGACTTGGACCAGGTGCTGAGGAAAAACATTCCATGTCTAATAAACAGCATGTACAAAGGTCAGGAGGCAGAGAGGACTATGGAGAATCATGCAGCTAGAATACAGACCGGCTTAGGACAAAGGAGGGAGAGAGAAGTCGGACCTTGCAAGGCCTTGGAGGCCACTTAAGGAATGGAGATCCCTGACAATCACAATCTCTAGCTTGCCACAAAAATTCCCCCCAGGGTGATCAGCCAGCACTCGAATCTCACTCAAGTCTCCCAAAAAGTGGCATGATTTCCACACATACTCACATGTCAACACCTCAGGATGTGATGAGAATGTTATGGAGAGGTGATCTGGCTTTCACAACGCAGATTGTCAGCCCAGGAGAGAACCCACACTCTTATCTGGTTCATTTTGCCAAAGGCCCACCAAAATAAATCTGAAGAGAATAGGAAAAAGACCATCATCGAGATAAAAGTAAAACATGAATCAGAAAGCAGAAAAACAGCTGGAGATTAGAGAAACATTTTATAAATTCTACACATTTCACGTAATAGAAACTCCCATAGCCATAAAAAAAAAAAAGATGAGAAATACCTTATGGAATGATCTCCAAGAGACACTGTTAAGTGAAAGTCAAGGTGCTGAATACTGAATATAATATGCTTCATTTGTTAAACAAAGAGGCAAACAATATACACGTTTGCTTCAATATACATGAAATAACTTTGGAAAGAAAATACACGGAACTAGTGACGCTGGTTATCTACAGGGAGGGAAACTGGTGCTGAGAGAAGGGATGTGGGAAGGAAATTTTCACTGTATACCCTTTCTCCTTTTTGAATTTTGAGCCACACAAATAAATTACCTATTCAAAGTTAAAGTGAACATGTTAATATTAACCAAGGTTTTAGACAAATGATACAAAAATTTTAATGAGAATGAACACTGTCAAGGAAAATGCTGCTGCTGCTAAGTCACTTTAGTCGTGTCCGACTCTGTGTGACCCCATAGACGGCAGCCCACCAGGCTCCTCTGTCCCTGGGATTCTCCAGTCAAGAATACTGGAGTGGGTTGCCATTTCCTTCTTCAGTCAAGGAAAATAAGAATTACTAAAACTGACTACCAATGGAATAGGAAAAAATTTAGGAGAAATCTTCTTACAAAGAATTCCTATGTGCTAAGACTCTCTATTTTATAATTTCTATGCGAAGAGCTGACTCACTGGAAAAGACCCGGATGCTAGGAAAGACTGAAGGCAAAACGAGAAGGGGTGGCAGAAGATGAGATGGTTAGATAGCATCACCAACTCAATGGACATGAATTTGAGCAAACTCTGGGAGGTAGTGAAGGACAGGGAAGCCCTGCATGGTCCATGGGGTCAGAAAGAGTTGGACATGACTGAGCAACTGACAAGACTCCACATTTTAATAGCCTAGCACAACGATTTTCAACCTCACAGTCTCTATGAGATTAAAAACTAATATTTATTTAGCACTAACAAATTGGAAAATCTTAAAGGAATGCATCACTTTCTAGGGAAGCACCAACAAATTGGAAAATCTTAAAGGAATGCATCACTTTCTAGGGAAGCAGAAATTATTTGAAATCTCAGTTTGACTGGAACTGTCCTTCAAATGCTCAAGGAGCAAATTATTCTTAGTTGGTACACATTGTTCCAGAGCATTTAAAAAGACAGAAGGTTTGCAAGTTTATTCAGCTAAATTAGAAGAGTGGCCTTCAAGAACACATTTTTTACAATAAAATGGCTATCTTGTATGAGGCATTTGCTCTATGTCAAGTTTTAGGAGTCAAGTTCTTTAAAAATGATCTGGGTGCTGCTTGGAAAACAGTCTGGCAATTCCTTAAATGGTGAAATGAAAACATATATTCACATAAAAACTTGTACATGAATGTTCATAGCAGCAGTATCACACGAGTGATACTAAGTTTCCACTTCAAAAAGTAGAAATAACTCAACTGCCCATCATTTGATGGACCCACTGTTTGATAAATGGATAAATAAAAGGTGGTATATCCATACAACAGAGTATTTGGCAATAAAAAATGAAGTACTGATACATGCTACAGCATTGATGGACTTTGAAAACATTATGCTAAGTGAAAGGAAACAGTCATAAAGGCCCACAATATAGTATGATTCCATTTATATGAAATGTCCAGAATAGGCACAGACAGAAAGTAGATTAACAATTGCCTAAGGCTAGGGCAGAGGGGAATGAAGAGTGAAGGTTTCTTTTTGGGGTAATGAAAATGTTTTAAAATTGATTCTGATTATGGTTGCACAATTCTGAATGTATTAAATACCAGTGAAGTGGGTGAACTGTATGGTAGTGAATTAATTACATCTAGATGAAACTGTTATTTAAAAATATGTATCTGGGTGAGTGCTCCTGATAATCTTAATGAAACGAGAACTAATATACTTGTTTTATAAATGGGAAATCTGCAGCTCAGAGAAGATGTCATTTACTCAAGTTCATAATCTGGTTGAGACAGTCAAGACTCAAACCTAGGTCTGTCTGTCTACAGTGCTTTCTACTTCCCAACACAACTCTATGCAAATAAAGTGAGAATCTTCAAGAAACGGCCCCCTTGTTGAGAAACATAAACTGATGGCTAACAGGTTCACAAGAGCAATGTCCTAAGAACAGAAAATTCCTACAATATTATGAAACATTCCAAACTTAGAATGAGAGAGAAGGTACCCATTAAAAAACCTAGCAAGTGGTTTTCCATCTCAAATGGGTCTGACTTCAGTGAGAGTGCCCTGGAGGACAACAGAAGCAATAGCTGTTGTTTATTAAACCTTCACAGTGGGCAAGGCCTGGCGCCGAGCACTTCACATGCACTAGTGTGCTTAATCTTCACAGAAGCTCTATGAAATAGACACTATTATTATCCAGGTTTCATAGATCAGGACTGAGCTATGGGAGGTGGGCAGCTTGTCCCACGTCACATGTTAGTAGACGGTAGAGTCAGCAATCAAATCCAGATCCTCGAGACACCCAAGCTCTCACCACCGAATACACTTCTGAGATATGAAATTTGAAAGCCATAATGGAATGGATCATTCTTGAGAGGAAGGCAGATAATAAAAACTTGGCAAATATCAAGGGAGCGCTTTCTTCAGAAAGTGCCCTAATCCCTTGCCATTTACCAGCAAGTTTCTTCTCATTTCCAAGGTACAATTCCTATGCTTTATAAATTGCACCATTTCAGGGAAAAGAGGCAAAAGTCTTTCATTTTAACAACACAGCATAGGAGTTTTTAACCCCAAATATATCTTGTGAAATAGTAACAGCTAATATTAATGGAGAACTTATATGTGTCAAATTTTTCTAAGTGTTTCATTAAGTGTTAGCTTACTTACTAGTCAAGACAATTGTCTGAAGTAGGTACAATTTGGACACAGAATAGTTGAATGAAAAAGTGGTTAATTGATTGGAAAAAATAAAAATAATACTTTGTGACACATGAAAATGGTATGAAGTCCACATTTCAGTGTTCATAAATACGGTTTTATTGGACACAGCCACAGCCATGCTGACATCCTCTCTATGGCTGCTTTCACACTCCAGTGGCTCAGCTAAGTGATTCGGAGAGATACCACATATCCCACAAAGCCTGAAATATTTACTGTTTGGCCCTTAGCAGGGAAGATTTATGGACCCTCATTCTTTTGGGTATTAAATTTAAAACTCTTAGTGAAAAATGGAGGGGGAGTATATAAAAAGTACTCCCTCAAAGGAAGAAAAAGCATGGCTTTAAAGGGTGACTGGAGTAGGAATGGAAACTTCCTTCCAAACTTTCAAGGAACAAATTTCTATGTTCCAGAACGCGTTCCAAGGCCTCAAAAACAGTGGAGGACGTCCCAGTTCCTTTTAATGACTGGTTCATAAAGGTTTACAACCCCACAGCTGTTTTAATTGGAAAGAACTCTGCATAATGAAAATAACAACAGCTGACAGTTACAGAACTTTCCCTACGATTCCAGGTGCTTTGCTAAATACAAGATTTCCATGTAATCCTCAACCAAGGAAAGCAGGGTACCATTGTTATCCAATTCTCTGGGTGAATTGGAGACTCAGGAGGTTAAGCACATTGCCCAAGAAGCTCAGGCCTCTAACCCTTGCTTCTGTCTTTAGAGTCTACACTCTTAACATGACACCATTTAATTTTAATCTGGTCTGCAAATATTGAGGAAATGCACACTTTCCTGAGAAAATAAAAGTACCAAAACTACCAAAATAATCTTGAGGTGGGGAGGAGTATATAGAAGCTTCCTACTGACTTCCAAGGCTTCCCTGGTGACCTGTACGGTAAAGAATCTGCCTGCAATGCAGGAGACCAGGGTTCGATCCCTGGGTCGGGAAGATCCCCTGGAGAAGGGCATGGCAATCCACTTCAGCATTCTTGTCTGGAGAATTCCATGGACAGAAGAGCCTGGCAGGCTACAATCTATGGGATTACAAAGAGTCGGTCACAACTGAGCAACTTTCACTACCACTGCCGACTCCCAGGGAACAAACAGTTCTGTGCCATAAACTGATTTGAGGGTGTGGAGAAGGGAGCCCTCCTATACTGCTGGTAGGAATGTAAACTGGTGCAGCCACTAAGGAGGACAGCATGGAGACTCTTTAAAAACTAAACACAGGGCTACCGTGACCCTACAGTCCCACTCCTTGGCATGGATCTGGAGAAAAACACGGTCCAAAAGGATACGTGCACCCCCAGCACCCCCAGTGTTCACTGCAGCACTGTTTACAACAGCTAAGTTCATGGAAGCAACCTAAATGTCCCCCCAGAAATGAATGGGTGAAGAAAATGTGGTGCATATGTACAATGGAGTATCACTCAGCCATTAAAAAAATAGAATAATGCCATTTGCAACAACATGGATGGACCTAGAGACTGTCACACTGAGGGAAGTAACTCAGAGAAAGAAAAACATCTATCGCTTGTATGTGGAATCTAAAAAATAAAATAAAATTACAAACTTATCTACAAAACAGACACAGAGAAGGAACTTATGGTTACCAGTAGGGAATTGGGGGGGGGTCAGGGATATTTAGGGAGTTTGGGATTAACATCTACACATCACTATATTTAAAATGGATAATCAACGAGGACCTGCTGCAGAGCATAGGGAACTCTGCTCATTACCGTGTAACAACCTAAATGGGAAAAGAATTTGAAAAGAATAGGTACAACTGAATGTGTCTGTACAACTGAATCACTCTGTTGTACACCTAAAACTAACACAACATTGTTGATCAACTATACTCCAATAGAAAATAAAAAGTTAAAAGAAAAGGCTTCTCAACCTAACACACCAGTGTTATACCCTAGCTGAGTCGGTTGCAATAGCACTCGTCTGTTGACTCACCACCCTCTCTCCCCTGGAAAGGAATCCCTGTAAGATAAGGAGAGTTAACATTTTCAGCTGGAGTGTGTGTCAGGGAACTACTTTAAGACTTTCTATGCAGTAATTCATCTAAGGTAGGAATGATTACTTCCTGAACTGAGAACCACAGAGACTAAATGGCTGTTGACAGTCTCACAACTAAGAAGTTAAAAGCTAAATCAGGCAGCAAAGTCAGCATCCTTAACAGACTCCCTACCATTCCATGGTAATAAATCTCAAAATCCTAATCAAACATGTTCGACCCATGGAAAAGAGAAATTGGAAAACCTGAGCCAAACTTATGGCAGGGGTTGTGGGGGCAACGCATTCCAATAGTGCCCAGTCAGCTGTCTTCACAAATTATCTAAACTCCCAGCAGAGCGGTTCTGAACCAAAACCATCTGACTTCCCAACTCTTGATAAAGAGACTTCAAAAGCCTTATGCTAAGTTTAAGAAGCCAGCCGCAAAATACCACATACTGCACCACTTCATTTTCATGAGACTTCCAGAAAAGGGAAATCTAAAGAGACAAAGTAAACTCATGGCTCCTCAGAGGCAGGCGTGCAAACGGGCGGGACCGAGGGGAACTGTTCTAAAGCGGCCTTGCAGCGGGGCCTGCACAACTCCTCAGTGAAGTCAGAGCCGCTCAGTCCTGTCTGACTCTCCGCGGCCCCATGGACCATACAGCCCATGGGGTTCTCCAGGCCAGACTACTGGAGTGGGCAGCCTTTCTCTTCTCCGGGGGATCTTCCCAACCTAGGGATCGACCAGGTCTCCCCCTTTGCAGGCAGATTCTTCACCAGCTGAGCCACCAGGGAAGCCCGGCACAACTCTTTAATTGTGCTTTAAAAAAAAGAAAAAGAAAAAAAGTTGAGTTGAACACTTACAGTGGGTAAGTTTTAAGGTAAGTTAATTTATGTCTCAAGAAAGCTGTTTCAAAGACAAGAGGCTGGCTGTTCCGACAACCGATTCCTAATCAAAGGCAGTTTCCTAGACTCAAAGCTTCCTCTAGTCAAGTCAATGGTGGTCACGGGAAAGCCCAAATTCAGAGAAAACACGAGGGTGGAACAGAGGTAGGGAGCGGGCCCCGAACTTCAGAAGCTCTTCCTGGAAGGTTTCTCGCTGTTTGAAGAAACCTGGCGGTGAGGCTGGAGGTCTTCGGTGGGCCCGGCCGAGAAGCAGCCCCGCAGCGCGGGCAGGCAAAGGGAATCGAGGTTGTGCGGGCACCGAGGAACGCCTCATTCCCGACGGCTTGAGTCCAGCGCGAGGCCTGACAAGGACGCCCGCAGAGGCTTCGCAAGGGAGGGAAAACCGACGTCCCGAGGGGCTCCACGACGCGAGCCCACCAACCTCGCAGCCCCGAACGGCCAGGACGGGGATGGATCGCCTCCCGCGACGGCTCAAGATGGTGCCCGGACCCCGAGGGCCCGCGCGCCTGCGCCCTGGACCGGCTTTGCAATTGGGCCCAAGCCGGGCCGTCGGCCTTTCAGCGGTTCTCCCACCGGTGTGGACTAGTAGCCCCATCCCTCGGTAGCGAACGGACAGAAGAATCACGCCCTCCATTTACTGCGGCTTTAGGGTCGCAGGTCTCTAAGCCGAGCCCGGCTCCCCGAGGAGAACCGGCGAGCGGCCCGGGAACAGGCGTAGCCCTGGCCAACGCGTCGGCACTTAGTGCGCAGGCGCGCGGTGCGGGGCTCAGCGCAAAGGCGCCTGGGAAACCGCCCGGAAAGCGAGCCGGGCCTTGCCCTCAAGGAGCTCGCCCCGGAGCCAGAAGCAGAAAGAAAGCGACAGGAGTGTAGGTGTCCGTTAGCGCTGCCTGAACCGTCCGTTGTGGAGTCGGGGAAATGTGCGTTCAGACACAGTGGTTTTATTTCACGGTCTAAACAATGAGTTCATCTTTTGTCGGTGAATTTCAGTTTCAGAATTCTGTGAGGTTGTATTTTGAACAGATTTCACTGTGTTCTGGGCAAGCGATTCCGTGACCAGAATGAACGCTCTGAGAGGGCAGGCACTTGGCGGTACACGTACTCACTGCACCTGAAGGGCACCTGGCACAGAATGAGTGCTCAGTGAATAGTTTTCGGGTCTCTGAGGTCTGCAAAGGAGCGTTTTGTTTTAGTCAATGACTCTCCGCGGCCCCATGGACCATACAGCCCATGGGGTTCTCCAGGCCAGACTACTGGAGTGGGCAGCCTTTCTCTTCTCCGGGGGATCTTCCCAACCTAGGGATCGACCAGGTCTCCCGCTTTGCAGGCAGATTCTTCACCAGCTGAGCCACCAGGGAAGCCCGGCACAACTCTTTAATTGTGCTTTAAAAAAAAGAAAAAGAAAAAAAGTTGAGTTGAACACTTACAGTGGGTAAGTTTTAAGGTAAGTTAATTTATGTCTCAAGAAAGCTGTTTCAAAGACAAGAGGCTGGCTGTTCCGACAACCGATTCCTAATCAAAGGCAGTTTCCTAGACTCAAAGCTTCCTCTAGTCAAGTCAATGGTGGTCACGGGAAAGCCCAAATTCAGAGAAAACACGAGGGTGGAACAGAGGTAGGGAGCGGGCCCCGAACTTCAGAAGCTCTTCCTGGAAGGTTTCTCGCTGTTTGAAGAAACCTGGCGGTGAGGCTGGAGGTCTTCGGTGGGCCCGGCCGAGAAGCAGCCCCGCAGCGCGGGCAGGCAAAGGGAATCGAGGTTGTGCGGGCACCGAGGAACGCCTCATTCCCGACGGCTTGAGTCCAGCGCGAGGCCTGACAAGGACGCCCGCAGAGGCTTCGCAAGGGAGGGAAAACCGACGTCCCGAGGGGCTCCACGACGCGAGCCCACCAACCTCGCAGCCCCGAACGGCCAGGACGGGGATGGATCGCCTCCCGCGACGGCTCAAGATGGTGCCCGGACCCCGAGGGCCCGCGCGCCTGCGCCCTGGACCGGCTTTGCAATTGGGCCCAAGCCGGGCCGTCGGCCTTTCAGCGGTTCTCCCACCGGTGTGGACTAGTAGCCCCATCCCTCGGTAGCGAACGGACAGAAGAATCACGCCCTCCATTTACTGCGGCTTTAGGGTCGCAGGTCTCTAAGCCGAGCCCGGCTCCCCGAGGAGAACCGGCGAGCGGCCCGGGAACAGGCGTAGCCCTGGCCAACGCGTCGGCACTTAGTGCGCAGGCGCGCGGTGCGGGGCTCAGCGCAAAGGCGCCTGGGAAACCGCCCGGAAAGCGAGCCGGGCCTTGCCCTCAAGGAGCTCGCCCCGGAGCCAGAAGCAGAAAGAAAGCGACAGGAGTGTAGGTGTCCGTTAGCGCTGCCTGAACCGTCCGTTGTGGAGTCGGGGAAATGTGCGTTCAGACACAGTGGTTTTATTTCACGGTCTAAACAATGAGTTCATCTTTTGTCGGTGAATTTCAGTTTCAGAATTCTGTGAGGTTGTATTTTGAACAGATTTCACTGTGTTCTGGGCAAGCGATTCCGTGACCAGAATGAACGCTCTGAGAGGGCAGGCACTTGGCGGTACACGTACTCACTGCACCTGAAGGGCACCTGGCACAGAATGAGTGCTCAGTGAATAGTTTTCGGGTCTCTGAGGTCTGCAAAGGAGCGTTTTGTTTTAGTCACTAAGTCGTGTCTCACTCTTGCGACCCCGTGGACTGTAGCCCACCAGGCTCCTCTGTCCATGAGTTTTCCCAGGCGAGATTACTGGAGTGGGTTGCCATTTCCTTCTCCAGAGCATCTTCCCTACCCAGGGATTGAACACGCGACTCCTGCGTTGGCAGACTGAGCCACCTGGGAAACTCTCAAAAGGGCATGCTGCACCAAAAGTTAGAGTTCCTGGTAAGTGAACCATCCGCTAGCTTGGCTGATAAAACCAGAGTTTCATTTTTAAAAAGTAGTCTAGTGTGCGAAGTAGGGTTGCATGATATAGCAAGTAAAATACAGGATAACCCAGTTAAATTTGAATTTTAAATCAATGACACTTTCTTAGCGTTAGTATTGTCCCATACTGGATTTTCTATATTTTATCTGGTACCCTAGTGAGAAGGCAAGAAGGCAATATGTTAAGGTGGAGAAGGAAGATGATTTCATTCCTCCAAGAAAGAACTGGAGAAGGAAAAAAAAAAAAAAGGCACATGGAATTTATAAATAAATACCTCCAATTATGAAGCAGACCAAAGACAATGCTTGAGAAACTTTGATTTAAAGTCCCCCTAGCCCTGTGCTAAGGATTGTATTTACATTATCATAATTGAAATGTTCTCTGCAGTAGGATAATTATTATTTTTATTTTACAAATGAAGAAAGAGGCTCAGAGATAGGAAGGAGGTGGCTTGCCGAAGTTGCCATATTTTCATTCAGTCACCCCCAAAATAGTTACTGAGAATATTTTTGTGTGCTGTTCTGGTATTTTTATTCCACACACAGGCTGCCTCCTGAGCTTGAAAATTTCAGTCTCTGCTCACTCCTCAGGCGCCTTCTCCTTCCCCACGCCAGCTGTTGTTTCCATGGTAACTGACCCTCTTCTGCCTCTGTTGCTAACTAGAGCTAAGAGCTCTTGAAGGGGAAGAAGAGGAGCCAGTGACGTCAGAGTAACCTGCCTAAGGAATGGGAGGAGTGCCTGGAGCCCTCAAGCTGCCTCTCTCAGTGGTTTGTGCTAGGCGCCTGTATGTGTTCAAATCTGCCTTTGGGTGGGGTGTCTGCAGAAGAATAAAAAGTTGACTTCATGAGCCTCTTGTAGACTCCATGGAGTCATAGATTGTCAGTTCACAAGCTGCTGTGAGCACTAGTGACATTAACATTTTGCATGCTTAATACTTATTAATTCACTTAGTCTATCAGTCAGTAATGATCTGCAGAGAGCTGATTTCCTATGAGTGCTGAATGCTAAAGGTACTACTGCTATCAATACCCTTATGGTCTCTACTGCCCTGTTCCTTAGAGTCCAGCAGGAAAGATACTTATTTATTTGTTTATTTTTAATGATTTTTTAATTGGTGCATCTTTGATATACAATATTATGTTACAAGTATATGATATAGTTATTCAGAATTTTTAAAAGTTATACTCCATTTATAGTTATTATAAAATATTGACTATATTCCCTGTGTTATACAGTATATCCTTGTAGGTTAGTTTATGGTAATAGTCTGTACCTCTTAATCCCCTACCCCTGTTTTTCCCCTCCCTGCTTCCCTTTCCCCATTGGTAACCACTAGTTCTTTCTCTACAAGTCTGGTTATTTGCTGTATTCACTAGTTTGTTATATTTTTTAGGTTCCACATATAAGCACTATCATACAGTATTTGTTTTTCTCTGACATTTCACTTAGCATAGTCCCCTCCAAGTCCATCCATGTTGTTGCAAATGGAAAACTTTCATTCTTTCTTCTGGCTCCGTAGAATTCCATTGTATATATGTAGCACATCTTCTTTATCCATTCCTCTGCTGATGGACACTTAGGTTGCTTCCATATCTTGGCTATTATAAATAGTGCTGCTGTGAACATTGAGGTACATATACCCTTTTCAAATTAGTGTTTTCATTTTTTTTTTCAGCTATGTACCCAGAAGTGGAATTGCTTAGTCAAATGGTAGTTCTATTTTTAGTTTTTTTTGAGAAACCTCTGTACTGTTTTCCGTAGTACCTGTACCAATTTACATTCCCACCAACAGTGTATAGTTCCCTTTTTCCCATATCCTCGCCAACATTTGTTTGTGTTGTTTTGTTATTTATTTGTTCCTTTTGTTATTTTGTTACTATTTATTTGTTCATCACTATATTCTGAGAGCCCATTATGTGTGAGACATATTAAGAGTCTGGGAGAAACAGAGTGAGTTTAAAAAATAAAACAAAATGCTGTGCTGCATGGAAATGAGCATGATAGGTTTGAGGTCAGGTATTAAACAGATAATCACAAGCATGGCAAATATTTACTAAGTACCTACTGTGGTGCCAGGCACTGTTTCAGACAAAGGGACTGTAGCAATGAACAAAATAGACTTTGTATCTGTTCTCATGGAGTTTACATTACGGTGTAAAGGGAAGAAATGGATGTGAATGAATCAATTAGCATCTTTCATTTACAACACTAGAGAAGGAAAATGGCAGCCCATCCCAGTACTTTTGCCTGGAGAATCCCAGGGACAGAGGAGCCTGGCGGGCTGTAGTCCACAGAGTTGCAAAGAGTTGGATGTGACTTAGTGACTGAACAGCAACAGCAGCAACAGTTACAATGTACAAGGTGTTCCCCTCAAACTGACTTAAATAAAAAGGAAAACTTATTGGCCTAACTGATTGAAAATGCCAGAGATATAGGTGGTCTCCTCTACTTAGAAACATGATCTCTATTATTTTTGCAAATCT